GAGGTTTAGGTACTCAGCTTTTGTCTGGAATATTTTCTAGCATCTAAGTGAACTGTATTTTCAGAAAAAATCCTCTCCAGAGGACAGAGAAAAAAAAGCACATTTTGCCAATATTTTTTTCCCACCTTTTCCTACACAAAAAATAAAAACTTCGGTAAATCCCACTCCCCTGGGGTAAAATTGCCAGAGTATGGTATGTGTATTACCAGAGTAAGGTATGTTAAATGTCGTTGCCTTGGTGCCTTTTCCATGCTATCCCTTCTTGACTCAGTCCATTTCCCTTTAGTAAATCCCACAGATGCTGGAGAAAAGGAGAACTGCTCTAATATTATTTTAAATTGTCAAGTATTTTTTCCTGGTGTATTGATGTAGAAGCTGCTGTGCAGAGGCTTTTTGCAGACAAAAATTTTCCAGAAGCTGAATGTTAATAGGAAAGCTTACTAATTGAAGTTATTTCCTACATCCCTTCCTAATCTTCAGTAATTGTGTGTCACATGTTTATCCCCACTTGTACCTAACTGGAAGAGAAGGAAATGTTTTGCAACTTTAGTCTCAGAGGATGAGCTGCTGACTTCTAAAGAAGGAAGTACTATGAATGGAAAATGGATGCTATTCTTGAAATTTCTGTGCCAAACCAGTTAAGGAAGGGCATGTATGAATATTATACTGCAGCCAGCATCAGCAGATACCTTACAATATTGTATTTGTTGGAATGAAAAGTAATGCACATAACCCAAAGGCTGCTCAAGGTTACGGTGATGAAATTGACTCTATATCAGTTTTACATCCATCTAAATGCTGGCTCCTTTTGTGTTGATAATTTTGGATTAAGCTGTTGGCAGCATGCATGTCAAATTGAAATTTAGCCCCATTAGTTCTATGCCATTGCTTTAACACTTTCATTACTTCTATGTCATTGCTTTTAACACTTTTCATTCAACTTGTACTGTTCAGCCTTCTCTTGCTTGTTAAGTTTTTGTCAAGATGTGCTGCAGGGGGCTTAAATGCCTCAGTCAAGGAAATACAGTTATTGTGTATGCTACATCTCTGAATTAATAATTTGACTAGATTTTACCAGAGCTATTTTAGAATGGCTGCCAAGGGAGTTCCAGAAACCCAATTCAGATGATATTTGTGCTTGAAATAAAAGGGGTGATGTGCACTTGTATGGTCATGTGCAAGGCTGTGTGTGCTGTGGTGAAATTCTGGCAGGTGGAAGAGTAGAAAAAAATCCTATGGCCACTTCTGCAGAACAGCATTAGTGATAGAACATTGCTGCTTGGTCTGGCAGCCTGTGATCAGCAAGTGAGGACTACAAAAGCAGATAAGGAAAAGACCTAAGTCACCAAGTGTAATTGTACTTTTTGAGGTATTTGTACAGTGGTCATCCTGTGGCAAGACTGCAGTTGGATTTCTTCTTGTTATGTTAACTGATAGAAACAGACCCCGCATTCTTGAAAAATTGTTTATTCTTCCTAAAACAATAAACCCAGTCAGGTCTCAGCTGAATTTTATCTTAAAGTTATGTAAATGATACATATAGGATCTTTTATTCTGCAGTGTGATTCAGAATGAAGATAATCTTCCATGTAGATTCTCTTTTTAACAACAAGTATATTGCAAAATAAATTTACCCTGTAACTAAATGAACATTAAAAGTTAGCTGTGCTGATGGAACGATTGGAAATAGTCTCATAAAAGTTTAAGGGTAGGGAAACAATGCAATGACATAACCATGACTCAAAACACATTTTTTATCTCTGCTTCTGCATCTGCTGCTACAACAAACACACTTGCCATGCAACCAACTTTTCTTTTTTATGCTTTGGATTTTAGCAGTGATTTTTGTAGCACTGGTGTTGGGGCTCCTAGGTCAGGCATATAGTGAAAGCTTATGGGAAGCTGTATGGCTACTCAGTACAGCTTCAGAAACTTTAAAAAAGTTCTGTTTAAAAAAATCTCCGTTAATAGTCAACTGTGGAACATAAACATTAAAATTCTTCTTGTCACTAGTTCTGCTGCCACTTGCATAGTGGCAGCATCCAGAATCATAAGTAATATCTTTGGTAGTAAAAGCACCTGAACACCTGGCCAATATTGGAAAGAGGAAGGTGACTTCTGATTAAGGTGACTAGAAGCAGGAATGGCACAAAGTTCCACAGAAAGGTCAACTCAGGTATAGATAACTTATGTAAGCTTAGGGGAAAGATGGTCATGATAAAGTGGAGTTAACTTTGTTACAAAGTGATTGGTTAGTTCAGGTTGTCAAACAATTTATGGTAAATAAATTAATACCTACGTAGAGATGTTATCTGCACATTACCAATAAGGTTCTTTTGGGTTAAAATATATAGTCAAAAATTCTTTAAGGTAGCTGAGCAAGAAATAAACCAGGCTCTGATGTCTAACTCAAAGATTGATTATTTCTGAAAAACATATAAAACAGATGGTAGACAGGATCATTACCCTTCTGTCAATAAGGAAACAGAGACAGTATTGTTTAGGACACCTTCTAATGCTGGCAAAAGTACAAATGCCTAAAGCTTTTGGAGATAAGGATCTGTATTTATTTCTCTTCAGATCGTCACAACCATTCAAGTGTGAATTCTGTAAGAGTGGTCTCAGTGCTTAAAGACATGCTGATGCCCTTATTCTCTAGTTAGGGATGTCACAGCAAGCCCCATATATGTCAGAAGAAGGGACAATGGAAAGTTGTTGGTCACTCTGGCAAGCAAAGACTGCAAAAGGAAAATTGTCCTGTGTAACTTCATAGCTCGAGAAGGAATCATGCTCCTTGTACAATTAGCACAAAGTTGGAGCACAGTAAATCAGTCTCTAAAATTCTAAGATGCTTAGATAGAAATAGCTCTTCTACATGGTGCAACTGTAATTGAGGGATGATTATCTTTCCCAGTCACAAGAAATGAATAAGACTGATTCCATTGAGATCTGGAAGTTTTATGGCAAAGAAAGGTGAATGGAAAATATGCAAGTTTCCAACTTACACCTGTCAGCATACACATCCAGTTTAATCTAAAAAGGGGTCAGGTTTGCTGTGTACACGGAGTTGCTGTTGGAGTTTGCAAAGACTGTTATAGGATTTAAGTCATGGAAACCTTTTTCCTTCCAAGGTGATAGTTCTAGCCAGGAGACTACCTAGAAAAACACAGCGGGGAAAAGAAAACCTCAAAAATCAGTCCTTTGGGCATCTCCCAAGTAATTTTAGAAAACACTTCCCAACTAAGAGTTTTGGTGGCATAAAAGACATAAAATGCCAAGTGGGGAGGTGTCTCTGAGGTATCATAAGAAGTTAAGTAAAGTAAGATGGTAAAGTAACCACTGAGCCAAATCTCTATAGACTGTGTTTTTGCTTTGTTTTCTTTGAATGGTTCTAACTAGTTATTACTGGGTTTATTTTTATTTTCCAAGAAGGAAAATAAAGTTATATTCTTCCAGTGATAGCTTCAGGAGGGAGAAAAGGCATCCCACTTAATTTCAGTCAGGATTGTTGAGTGATATACTATGTACAGGTAAGAGAAGTGCAAATTTGTATTCTCAACTAGAGAAAGGAGAAAAATCTAAAACCTCTTCAGATGTATTGAGGAAAAAGAGGAAGATGTTCAGATAGAGTCTAGGCTATAGTTGAGATAAAATTATTAAATAAAAAATATCAGCTAAAGAATATGCCTTTATGATAAGAGGATGTTTCTAGTTGACTAGAGCAGTCAAAAGGGCTAAGTGAAAAGTTTCCTTGATGTTTTGAAAAACATAAAGGTCCTACTTGTAATATGATCAATGAAAGTAAGAAATACTTTAAACGATTAAGAGGATTACAGATTTCTGGTCACTGCAATGAAAATTTTTTGATGAGGAAATGTAGAGATTGGAAGCAGATGTGTTACAAGATGTCTTGAAGGAAGTGTGTTTTGTCTTCTGCAGAGAGTTGCAGAAAGACCTTCTAAAAGGAGCTTTTCAGCACAATATAATGTGCCTGTGGAAATCCTGTATTTCTGAAGCAGCATTCTGAAGTGGTTCCTGATTCTGTTTTCTGCTTTCTTTCTTCTTCTCCCAAGAAACCTCTTTCTCTGCACAAAGCAAAGCTGACCCTATAGCTTTTGTAGGATCTGATGTGGGACAGTGGACTGTAATTTTATCATTTATGTAGAAAGTAAGCTAGAATGGGCAAGAATGTTTAGGGTGATTAAAAACAGTAATGTTTTTCCATTTACCCTTCTTCTTTTTACTTTTTCTCTAAAGCTTAATATTATGTGAGAATCTCTACAACTTTGATGGACATTCTCTTACACCATGATGAGCTTCAAAAGAGCACCTCTTTTGTGGTAAAATCCTTGAACCTACTGTGTCAGCCAGTCTCAAATATATTTTTGGCAAAATATGCAGTATGGGAAGTACTTGGTTTAGATGTTCCCAAGAGCTGTAAAAATTAAAGAAATCCAATAATTACCTGCAAAATAATTTTACAACACATGATGTGCCATTTTATTTGTAAGGGTTAATGTTAATTACAAAGTACTTCATAAACATCACTTAATTTTTACAGAAATCATTCTATGTGATGATGAAAAATGAAAATATCTTTGGTTTTGAAGTCTTTATTTAGAGTCTCACCTTAAAATTTCTTCCAGGGATTTCTTTGTTCAGCCACCCCAAAATCCATTATTTGTTATGGGAGTTGCTGAAGATTAAACTTGGTGTGAGCATTTGAAGGATTTAAAAGCACAGCATCCTGTAGATGAAATAGAGCAATAAAAAATTACATTATTACTGAATCAATATTATAGTTTCCTGTATGCTGAATTCCTTCATTTATGGTGAAAAATGATTGTCTGTTTACTTCTTATCTTCTGCAAATATCACACCTGTTTTTTCACCCCTCCTCTTGCCTCCTCCCTTTGAATCTCCTCCCCTGTGACAGAATCAATTGCCTCAGTGGGTATTATAAAAAGCTGAGTTTCCAGTGGATCTTCCATTCACCCACCTTAGCCACCATGGGGCTAAGAGCGGCCAGCCTCTTCCTCCTCTGGCTGGCTCTCTCCTCTGCTAATGAAATAAAAAAAGGTAAGATCTAGAGATGAAATGGTAGCAGATTGCCTCCTGGAAAAGAGGGAGAGAGTTAAAATATAGCTGCAGAGCTAGAAGGAGGCTGTGCATTTAAATAATGCTCTGGAGTTTCAGGATGCTTAAATCGCTTGAGCTTTCAAATACTGAGGCTGCATTGCTTGGACAAAATTGATAGAGCCTACTTTCTTTGGAGAGATTAGTGCCTATCTCTACTGCATTGATTTCTAGTTTGATGTGCTTGGAAAACATTTCCAGTGTTGCTTTTCTTTCCATGCGTTGAGTCTTTACTAGATATGGCAAGAAAAGAACTGTAAGGCAAGAAAGGAACTGTAGGACTTTGAGAGGTTCATTGTTAAAGTAATGAAGGAAGTGGATGATTGTGTCTTCTGTTACTTTGGAACAACATAAATTGTTCCTCAAAAATGAATGTAATAACATTAAAAAAAACCCCCAACTTATTTTGTCATTTAGGACATTTTTAGCCCTTTTGCAAAAGCTCTGACTTACTGTATTTGCTATCAAATTTGAAGTGATGGAATGGAGCACTCTTACTGAAAACTGCTTTTTGGAGGAATAGGTGATTAATTATATCCAGTGATCAGGTTTGGGCTATTGGGCTTGGTCTACTGTGTCTTGAATTCAGGAGTGGGAGGAAAGCTTTACCTTGCATTTGGTCTTCCATCTGTGAGCTCTGGGAGGACCTCTGTGCAGCCTTCCTTCTGGAGCGGGATGTGTTCCAGCTTGGCTGGATGTATCTGGTATGACTGATACCATCAAAATACTGTGGCCTAGGGATTTTCTTAGCAGTTTTGCTTTCTCATGTTAAATGCTGCAAGAAAATCTTGTGAAATTTTAAGATTCCCAAGGATGCTCAGCTTTTATGATTCTCCTCTAATCTACAGTATCTGGAGATTGATCAGATATTGTTGTTAATTTATGTTTTTTGTTGGTATAGAATGCAGAGGAAGGAACAAATCATCTTCATATTTTGCTATTGCAAAAACCCTTTTTTCCCTCCTACTATGACTATTTTCTGACCTATCTTCTGAAAAATTTCTGTCTTGCAGTAATAGAAATCACTACTACTGCTTTTAGGAAAATAAATATTTCACTGAAATCTCCTGTTATGCATAAGCCCTTTCATAACCTTTAAACTGTTGGCCTTCCAGAGTAGGTAGTACTTTCTTGATTTCCTATCTGTTTTGTTTCTAGTACATGTTGCACCAGGAAAGAAGATAGTTCTTGGAAAAATTTAATATTGACAAAAATCATACTGTGATTCAGAATAAAATCATATGCTTGGCACAGAAGCCAAGTTAGTGGTCAGTATTAAGTTTCCCCACCTCATGCAGGTAAGTTCATTCACCTCAGTGAAGATTATAGGATATACCCTGGTCTCAGAATTATTTATTAACATCTCAGTCTGCTTTTGAGACTTTCCATGTTTTCTGCTGACCTGGCAGATACTTGATCCAGCTTTAAATCCATGGAATCAGTGTGAACAAAATTGCAGGTGGTTTCTGCTGTAAAATTGAACATTTACCATTTTTCACAGTAGATCGTTTCTTGCACTTCTTTTCAACTCTCTTTCTTTTTCATCATTTAACAGGAAGGACAAGAAGCCATGGCCACTATGTCTGCAGCACTTGGGGAAACAACCATTTCAAGACTTTTGATGGAGACGTCTACCAATTCCCTGGCACTTGCGAGTATAATTTTGTTTCTGACTGCCGAGAGGCTTACAAGGAATTCTCTGTCCACATCCAGCGTGGTCTCGACAGCAATGGCCATCCTGAGATCCAGTATATTCTGCTGAAAGTCAAGGATATAATGGTCTACCTCAAACCCAACCTGGTTGTGGTGGATGGGCGGATGTAAGTTCCTTTATTATAATGGTATTCAGAGAAATGTGCTGGGAAGATAAAAGCAGGATTGATTCTTTACACAACTGTCCATGTACCATTACAGAAACTGCTGCAAAGCATTTCCACAGGACAAACAAACAAATAAACAAACAAAAAAGCCTTTTGAAATTCAGCATTAAAATTGCTTTGGGGAGGGGCTTTAGTACTAATTGTCATTTCTACACTGGCATAAGGGATTATTTAAATACAAGTCAGGAATAGGTTTGAGTGAATTGTTCTTCCAGTTGTGCAGAAAATAGTGCAGCTCATGAGCAAGATTTTTCACTGGCTTAAAGTGACGTAGCTTCGTTTGTTTGATGGCATCATCTTGAGTTTACCTTAGCAGATGGTCTAGCAAATCCTTGAAAAGGGAATGCATTTCTCTGGGGCGTTCTCATCATGTTTTCTGACAGAAGAGAGGTAGTTTTTTCTGATCTTCATAAATAATTCTTAAAGATCTGATGGCCATTCCTCAAGGGAGTTTAAAAGATATAACACAGGTCAAAATTCACACTAATTTATCTGTAGCACTATGTACTTTTGCATACTAAGCAGTGTTATTTTTTTCCTCTTATAACATGATTACACAAGAAACTCGTCTGACACCATTAGTGATGCTAAGTAGTGTCTTAACCTCGTCTTTCCTATCATTAGCTTATCCTTGTAGTGTGTGCCTTTACACTCTGAAGCAAGTGAAGTAACTAATGAGTTAATTAGTATGTTTTAGCATAATTGAAAAAGCTTTTTAATTATCATTGAAGAACTTGGTTTTGCCCAGAATTCTGCTTTTGCTCTAAAGTTTGGAAGCCACTGCAATGAAAATATGTTCAAGGATTGAAAGTAACATTCAGTTTTCTAAAGATCATACTAGAATGCATAAGAAAATGACAGAAATTTACAAAAAATGCATTATTGCCTCAAATTGAAAAAGCTCTTTATTGTGTACTCAAGTCTTGAAAAGAACTACATGCAAAACAAGTTAGAAGTACTTTTAAATCTGTTTCTCTTAAATGGAGCCATTTTTCTTAGATAGACTTTATTGTCATGAAACAACAGATCCCTGCCAAACTAGTTTTTGCAGCTTGTAGAATTTTTTTTTTGGTAGAACTTAATTTTCCATATTGCTCCTGAAATGATAAATTATCTATTGTCATGTAAAATAGCATTTCACAGTGCTGAAGTGAAAACTGTAAAGTAAAAAAGTTTATGGATTAGCCTTCAAGTACCTGATTCACTGCTTGATTGAATGTCCTACTATTAGAAAAAAAAAGATAAATATTCCATGCAGTGAAAGCTAAAAGCTAAGAAGATGTCCAACATTTTATGCTTCCCCTCAAGAAACATAATCCCTCAAGATTTCATTGTTTATTGATGAGCAATGCAGTCAAAAGCAGAAAAAATGATCTCTTGAGTTTGCACCTAGATATGTAAGTCATTTGTGCATGTTAAAAAATGCCTGAGGTAAATAGTTGTAAAAACCCCAGTGACAGAAAATCAGGAGATAAAGTTCTCCCAGTCAAGAGACTAGTTAACAGATGTACATACACATGCATGAATCTTGATGGATAACAATTACATTGATAAATCTGTAGAAAATGAACCAGTTATTTTGACTGGGCCCCAGTTTACATTACTCCTGTTTGAGCAGACTCTAGTTCTCTGGATTTTATAGGATAAGAGTGCCTGCCACAATTCTTTTATTGTTGAATGAAATTCAGCATTTCAGTTTATTTGTAAGACAGACATGAATTGTTATCACACAAAAATATCTATGCTCAGCCCTCAGCAAAGTGTCTTCTGTCACCATTAACAAGCTCAGTCCTGTCCACTGAAAACTAAGTAAATAACTACAGTAAGAGCTACTGAATTCCTTTTAACATGCTCCTTTCTTTTACAAATTTTGTTGGCAGTCCCTATAACTGCCTGTGCATTCTGAACTCTCTCTTAAGGAGGCAGTTCCTTGCAATGGAACATAAATTCTCTCTGAAATGGTTATGAGATATTTTGGTAAAGAAACACTGTAAATTATGTTGTAGCTCCTTTCATTGACATAAATTATTAGTAAGTGTTTAAATATCCTCTGTTAATACCACAATGATGATGGTTTTGCTTTGATTAATTTGAAGACATCTGACATTTTGGTATTTTTGAAATTAAAGAGCCCGAAGTGTTGGGTAGGCTTTTCCCCTGAAATTACGTTGCCTTTTAAATAAATTTTTGCAATGAATTATTGTCCTGAGTGTCAGATAGAGAAGACTTTATGCCTCATTAAAACAAGGCATCCTGTGCAGTTAGAATGAGGTAGTCAGACTAGTTTCTCTATTCCTTGGGGTATTTGGTTTATTACAGACATTCATGTCAGCCCTTATGTTTCCAAACTAATGCAAAGTCTGTGATTTTCTTCCTAGTGTGAAGACACCTTACTACACCTCTGGTGTCCTCATTGAGAGCAATGACATTTACACCAAGATTTATGCCAAATTAGGCATGGTTCTCATGTGGAACCAGCAGGATGCCCTGATGGTATGTATGATCAAAGTATTTTTAATTGGTATTTACTGGCTTTCCTGGGATATTTCTCTATGTCAGTAGGGAAAAAAAGGGAGGGGGGAAAAAGGAAGAAGAAAAATATAATTCCTTTATGTTTTTCCTTCTTCTTTTCATAATTTAGGTGGAGCTGGACAGCAAATTTAATAACCATACCTGTGGTCTCTGTGGGGATTACAATGGCATTCAAATCTACAATGAGTTCATCAAGGGAGGTGCGTCACCCCACCATACTGACAGTTGTCCCCAGAGATAGACTGACAAGCCCTGTGCACAGAAACTTCACAGGAGAGCAAATTTTACTTGAGAGGTTTCTGTGATTGCCACAGACTAAACATTAAGTTCCAGTGCTGTATTCCTGGAATTCCTGCATTCTAAATTTATTCTGTTCTAGATTATTCTTTTTGTTCTTTACTTGCCTTCTTTTCCTGTTTCTCCTTTACATTTTAAAGCACAGTTAGACATCATTCAGAGCAGGTACCTGTGTCTAACAGGCATGTTTGATACCATAGTAACTGTTTCCCTTGATCAGTAGAGTTCCAGGAATCAGATGCTCCTTGTTGTCAATTTTTGGGGCTCAGCAAGTTCTCTTTCTATTTTTTCTCATAGATGCAAGCTACAACTCAATTACATATGGGAATATGCAGAAGATCAGCAAACCCAATTCCAAATGTGAAGATCCAGATGAAACTCAGGCTCTTGCAAGCTGTAATGAGCATGTAAGTACTTCCTGTGGCAAACTTCCTTGACATGGACACATGGAGACATCCTTGTGCAACAGGGAGTAGGTTGCAAGGAGCTGGGAGGACTGTCCCTTCAAGGATATGTGGTTACTTTTTCCTAGCTATTCAAAAGACAACTGTTTTTATTGTAAGATAAGAAATGTCCAGAAGCTCAGATACCTGTAAATCTCTTAAACTTTATTCCCCTTCCTCCTCAGCGTGACGAGTGCCAGAGGCTGCTGACTTCCGCTGCATTTGCTGATTGTCGGCTGCGTCTTAATCTGGAAATGTACATCCAAGCCTGCATGCAGGACAAGTGTGCCTGCAATGGGAAGGACGACTCCTTCTGCCTCTGCAGCACCATCTCAGAGTATTCCCGCCAGTGCTCACACGCAGGCGGCCGCCCGGGAGAATGGAGGACACAGAGCTTCTGCCGTAAGCAGCTACACACATTTTACAAATATCCAAAGGTTTCATGCATGTAGCACCATGAAATTTAAATTTATTATTTCTTTTCAAAGGTGTTGGCATGTATTACAAATTTCATACTGGTAGTGCTAAAAATATTATGGTCTCTCTGCTTTCTTCTTCTGTTACTTTTACTATTAAGAAATATTTTTCAGCAAATTCTGTTCCCATTAAAAAACCTGAGATTTGATGCTGCAGGAGATGGGAATAATTTCATCTATTTGAAACCAAAAGAAGTAAATATAAAAACCAGGAAAGCACTTCAGATTTAGATAAACATGCTTTGCCATGTGGAGCCTGGCTTGAGACACCACTGACTTGAGGGAGTAGGGTGTATGATCTGTGGTTTCTCAGGAATGATGGACTTAACACTCAAATAACTCCTGCTAAGAAGTAAATATAAAAACCAGGAAAGCACTTCAGATTTAGATAAACATGCTTTGCCATGTGGAGCCTGGCTTGAGACACCACTGACTTGAGGGAGTAGGGTGTATGATCTGTGGTTTCTCAGGAATGATGTACTTAACACTCAAATAACTCCTGCTGTCTTTCTTATTCTTTCAGCCAAGACCTGTCCTGCTACCATGGTTTATAAAGAAAGCAGTTCCCCCTGTGTGGACACCTGCTCGCACTTGCAGATCAGCAGCCTTTGTGAGGAGCACTACATGGATGGCTGTTTCTGCCCTGAAGGCAAGTGTTTTTCTAGGTGTTGCATCTGGGACAAAAGCAAGAGCCCTGGCTAAGGAGGTCATATGAAAATACTACATCTAGTCAAGTTATTTCTTAGGAAAGAGTAGTGCTACTCATTATTTCCCCCCCTAGAGGAAAATAACAGTAAAATTTTCTAAGGAGGTAGTAATTAATTAATTAATAAATTATTTTATAGTTCAAACATACTAACACAGTGACAGGTAATAGACCTGCTTTTTAATTCTCAACAAGTGGGGTTTTGATACTCTATAGTAAATCACTCTTTTTAGTGAATGAATTGTTCTGAGACAATGGACATCACTTGCCCAGAGAGTGGCAGTGAGGGACAGTGAGTGAAATTCTCAGGCTTGATGTCAATCTTAGGAAAGAAGATTACAGTGATAGTCTTCACAGCCAAAAAGACTAAGAATCTAAACATGTGACATTCTCAGATTGTTCTTATATGCTTGCAATAACCTTTTTATCTGTGTATAGTTATATAAATGAACAGACTTGGATTTTCAAAGCTGAATAAAAGTGCTTTCCATCTGTCTTATATTACAAAAAAATTAGAGCTAGTATTCTTCAAAGTTTAGATAATCTCAGCCTGTGTGGAAAATTAGAGTTTTTCCTCTGTGGAAATTTCTTATTTGAAAAAAGAGCTGTAATAGTTAATGTTGTGTTTTATAGGAACTATGTATGATGATATCAGTGAAAAAGGCTGCATCCCTGTTAGCCAGTGCCACTGCAAACTTGGTGGAAAGGCATATGCACCTGGAGAAAGCATTTCCAAAGAATGTGAAGAATGGTAAGGATCCTGGTGGTTGTACACCTTTCTTTGAATTATTGTTAATGGGCCTGCATTTTTCAAATTTCCACTTGGTCACAGGAGATGTTCTGAAAACTCTCTGAATTTATTGTTTATTGAATTAAACAATAAAGTAAGTTTCTGTGGCATATGTCAGATTCTATGGCATATGTCAGAGGGAAAATCTCAAGGAAATGGTCAAGGATACAGTTTAAAACACCTGGGGATAGCTTGCTGCTTGCCAGGTATGCAGATACTTTCAGTGCTCTGAGCTCCTGTAATAACTACAAGTATTTTCTGTATTATTTGTCTGTTTATAGCACCTGTAATTCAGGCAGATGGACCTGCAAAGATCTACCCTGTCCAGGCACATGCTCAGTGGAAGGAGGTTCCCATTTTACCACCTTTGATGGGAAGAAATACACCTTCCATGGAGACTGCTACTATGTCTTGGCCAAGGTACTGTGCACAGTGGGGCTGTTTCTCTTGTAGAGTAAAACAGTGTCTGTGGGCTGATGTGTATCAGCTGGGCGTTATTGTTCTAGTCCACTTCCATAGGGTGAGGGTAGCTGAAATGCTGGAAGTTGTACTAGAAAATTCAGAATTTAACTGTAATAGCCCTAAGGGGAAGCTGAGGACTTATTGCAATGGATGATTAACTCAGTGAGAGACAAGACTGCCTATGCTGTCAATACCCAGTGGAGTCCTCTGTATGTAAGAAATCGAAAGGTCTCAGGATTAGAAGTTCTTGGCCACTTCTGTGATAGCTATTTCTGAGTGTCAAAGTCAGGTAGGGAAAAGAGATAGGCATCTGTGCTAACATAAAATATCTGGTGTCCATTCTTCTAGAGAATGAGGAAAATCTTGTTGAGCTAGGAAAGTAATTGTAATTGATGAATTTAGTCTTTGTTGTGGAAATACTCTCATGAGAGTTTTAATATGACTAATGGACATTTCTTTCCTTGTGATTGTAGGGTACTGCAAATGAGAGTTATGCTCTCCTGGCAGAGCTGGCTCCCTGTGGCTCCACAGACAAACAGACCTGCTTGAAGACTGTTGTGCTGTTAGTGGATAACAAAAAGAATGTAAGCGCTGTTCTGTGGATTCTGCTAAATATATTGAAAATTAACATATTTCCCTTAATGTGGGTGAATACTTTTTTCTTCTGGAGTCATTATTGTGGATAGATAAGGAACCTCAGCCAGGCTGACAAACAGCTCAGGTGTCTGCCTTGAGAATTCAAAGTAAACCTAAACTTAAGAGAATATGAGATTCAAAACAACTTTCATTTCCCCCTCTTCTTTCCTCTGCTCTGTGTGATATGATTTTTCTCACAGGATTCCAGGTGTCTGGAAGGAAGGGTACCTATTCTTCTCCACGTCATCGATTTTTTCTTCATTCAGATATAATTTTATAGTTCTAATTGAGTCTTTTTGAGAATAAATCCTGTCTTTGAATGATGATACAATCCAACCTTCTCAAATATTCACTTCAGTATTCTCTTTGTTTATGAGAATGTATGGACTGTCTCTATACATAATTTACATACATATACATATGATATTCCTCACATATTTATTTATGGGCTTCCATGTCCTTGCCAGCATTACTAGAATGTAAGAAAACCAAATCAAAATCCAATCGTTCTATGTTTGTCTATGTAGAGTAGCATTTTTTGAGGAAGTTTAATAAACTGCTTTCTTAGCATGTCAGAATCATATTAACCATCTCACAGAATCTGTAGCACATGCTTTAATAAGGAATGAGAACTTCCTACAGATCCTGTAGACCTAATATTTTCTTCTACTTGCTGAAACCAAAATTCCCAATATAAATGAGTTTTGCCTTTCTTTATTGGTGTGAATTATTGTAGGCAGATGTAAGAGAAACACTGAATAGCAAGACAAAACCGTAGGCGCAACCTATAGGGCTGCTGCCATGTTCAGTTTTCAGACAGATTTTTCCTTTCAAAAATTTGGAGTTCTAGACAGAGCCTAAATGTGTAAAGTGTCCTTGCTGTTAATCCTCTTTGTATTAGTTCATTGTCCTCAGTTCCTGGAACCTCATTGATTCCATTTGCCGTTACACAGGTGGTGGTTTTCAGATCAGATGGCAGCGTGCTCCTGAATGAGATGACAGTGAATGTGCCTCATGTGTCAAGTAAGGGACACAGCCTTTTATGTCAAGTGTCACACACCTGGCTTCTCATGTAGGGGTGTATTTTTATAGAGGCAAAACTGGAGGAGGGGTATTTAGCATTTTCCAAATCTGGCTAAATGGTGTGGGCATGCCCATTTGGTTCTGATCCCAGAGACCCACCTTTATAAGTAATCAACTTGTTAAGTTTGTAAGCACCAGCATCGTATTTAGTTGGCCAGTGATTTTTGAAGGAAAAAAGATATTAATTCAATCCTGGTCTCAGACATTTCATGCTGGGTGATACATGAGAATCTAATAAGAAGTGTTTATTTTGGCAGCCTGTGTGTATTGGTTCATTACAACAATTCATGTTTTGTTTTTCAGCCAGCTTCTCAGTATTCAAGCCATCTTCCAACTACTTTGTTGTACAAACTCCTTTTGGGCTTCAGATGCAGATCCAGCTGTTTAAAGTCATGCAGCTGTTTGTGACTGTGGATGAATCAGTTAAAGGAAAACTTCAAGGCAAGTGTCTATGCAAATGGGAAGCAAAGTCATGCTGTTTCACAGCTGAATAATCATGTATTCTTTATATGAGTGATAACTCATGCTACTTGTTGATTCAAGGGAAGAAAATTGAAAGAAAATCCACTCAAGCAAACTAGAAGTGTGTTTTTATTTTGTGATATTGAAATTACCTATCATTCTGTTGCCAGTACACAGGTGTTAGAATATTCCTTACTTTTGCATTTAGTTTAATTTTAAACTATCTACAAAATCGGGTTTTCAGTGTATTTTGTGGTTTCAATATCATCAGAAAGCATAAAAATATGAGTTAGAGTAGTAATCTCTTGAAACACAGGTATCTTCATGATTACTATTCTTGGATGTTGGAGATTTAAACCAACATCCAAGAATAGTAATCATCCAGATTCTAAAACTTCAGTACTTATAGTATGCATTAAATTGATGTGGAATAATCAGCTGTTTATAATGTTTGTGATCAGTTGTCAGTTTGTGATCAGACCTTTCAGTATGAGAATAAGTAATGCTTATGTGAAACTCTTACCTTGTTCTCAAATAGGTCTTTGTGGAAACTTCAATGGAATGGAAGGTGATGACTTTAGAACAACCAGCGGGCTGATTGAGGCTACAGGATCTGCCTTTGCTAACACGTGGAAAGCTCAGTCCACCTGCACAGACCAGGCAGAAAAGCTGGAAGACCCCTGCAGTCTCAGCATTGAAAGTGGTAAGCACATTAATAAGTCATGGGGTTGGCTTCTGCCAGGATGAGCAGTGTCTGCTGTGCATTACTGCAACAGGCCTGTAAGAGTTGTAGTGGGGCATTGAAGATTTTTTACAGGACTGTAATATTATAATTAATATCTGCACGTATGTATACATACAAGCACTTCATCAAACTGAAGTGAAAATTTAGAGAGTGATTGTAAAAGAATCCTAAGGTGGTAGAATGGGAAAAACAGTCATTAATTTGTACTATCTGTAAAGACAGCTTGTATCTCCTAGCATTATCTATCCTTATGTTTAACTTAACTTTATGGTCCCCAAATAGAAAGAGCTGTCACAATTCCATGTGTACAAACTGCAAAAGTATGGTGCAGTTTTTGATTTTATGATTGCATGTCTCTGAATCAAGGATTAGAAATACATGTGTGGTGATTGCATGTAGTTTCTCCACTTCCCAAAATGCACAAGTTCTCTCATTTGTATTTCTGCACTGCATTTATGCACCAACATAACTAGGCATGGCACAAGGAAGATAAAGAAATGTGATGAATTTCTCTCTTTTTTTTGCAGCAAATTATGCTGAGCATTGGTGCTCATTGCTGAGAAACCCAAAGGGTCCTTTTGCAAGATGTCACATAGCCATCGATCCTTCAGAATACTACAAGGTATTGTAATTTTGCACTCTTTTAGTACTGCATTATTTCAGATGGTTAACTTTAGACATTTATCATTGTTTGTACATTTGAGACATCAGTGAATAACTTGTCCATAAGAGATGCTGAAGTTTCTGCTGTGACTGATTCTGGCAACATACCATCCAAAGTATCTCATATGATGAGATCCTTATGGGCTGCTGCTGAATAAAAATGTACATTTTTTATTTTGCTTTTTTACTTTTTGTGGCATGTTTATTGGCTTGGATATTTGGACTGAAAAGGAGACTCAAGAGTTGCAGATGTGCACAGCTTAAATTCAGAAACATTAGTTTCTATAAAGTGGGGGGAAAAATTCCAACAGTATATTGGTTGGAAAGTAACACCAAATAATTTTCATGCTGGAGTCTCCATGAATTCTTTTCCCCCATGCTCATCTCTATTGAGCAGCAGCGGAGGCTCACCTGAGGAAAAGGAATTCTAAAATCATTGCTTTTACTTGGAAGTCAGAGTGAGCTCAAATGTTGTAAAGGTCTTTGTAGACCTGGTTAATATTTTGCCTTTATTATCCTAGTTTTTGTGGATCTCTGCATTTCTAATTAGTAACTGAGAATGAATGGTATCAATATCCTTTGAAAAATGTGTTCTTAGGAGGCTGACTACTTTTTAAAGGTTCAAGAGGCTTGGCTTAGGTTAGAATAAGCATCCAAATATTTTCATTGTGGATTAAATGACACAGCACTTTAACTCTCTGATCTTTGTCCATTCCTTTCATTGTTCTCTTTCATTGGCATGGGAATTAATACAAACAACATCAGGAAAAGCAGACAGGACATTTTGTAGCAATCAAGATGCAATTGCCGATTGATTCCTTGTGGACTTATTGACCCTTTTGTTCTTTTTTTTTTCAGAAATGTAAATATGACACCTGCCTCTGTGAAGACAACGAAGAATGTTTGTGTGCTGCCCTGTCCTCTTATTCAAGAGCCTGTGCTTTCAAAGGGATCATACTGGGAGACTGGAGAAACAGTGTCTGCAGTAAGTAATGGAACAGTAATCCCTGTGGAAATGATTAACCATGAGAAATAAGCAGGCTGTCTCTGAATTTGGGTGTCAGTAATCTATCCTGCTGTTAAGGGATTTGAAGTATCTTAGAAATGTGTAATGGACCAAAAAGAGGCAATGCTGATAATGTTTACTAATTCATATTATATTCTTCAGATGTAATTTGAAATTTTTATACTTAAAAGTAGAAAGCAATATTTCTAACTTTCATCTTTCTCCAGTCTAGCTAATATAATTGCATTTGCTAATGGAATCCCAGCCATCAGGGCTTTTACTGTGCATTTGTTTATCAATGTCATTGTTTCTGATCTTGCTTACTCTACATCAACAGTTCAATATGTTTGAGACTAGCAATTTATTATATTGTGCTCACTATCTGATTATCAGTATGTGAAACTAATGGGGCTATGAAAGTAGAAACTATTAGTAGCAGTTAAAATAAGTCTTCAACTGGTGAAGATAGGTTAGTGTTACTTGTTACTTCTGATATTTTTGTACTTTAATAAGATCTAAGGGAATGTTTTTATCACTACATTCGGCACAGCCAAAGAAACCAAAATAGAAATGTCAAGGCCAAATTGTCCATCCTGCATCCCTTATTTATCAGTCTGGGTTTTTTCCCTCCAGGCAGCGAAGCATCTTCTTGCCCAGGAAATCAAGTCTTCCTTTACAACCTTACAATGTGCCAGCAAACCTGTCGCTCCCTTGCTGATGGTGAAAAGTATTGCTTGCAAGACTTTGCTCCTGTAGATGGCTGTGGCTGCCCACCCAATACATACTTGGATAACCAGGATAACTGTGTTGCCATCTCCCAGTGCCCATGTTATTACAAGGGATCATACCTGGAACCTGGGCAGTATTTCACAAAAGATGGAGAACGCTGGTATGTTCTATTTTGGCTTCTTGTTTGGGGGGAAAAAGCCCTTTAAAAATTGCTTGTTAGGTGTAAGGTGCTTAGGTTTTTTGGTACTTTAGTGAGTATTCGTAATGCGTTTCACAACATCTTTGTGCTGAGCAAAGCATTATTCTGTTGCAATGCAATTTATCAATAATTGAGAAGTGCAGCTTGCTTTGTAGGTGTGAGTATTGGCCTTCACAGATAAATGTTATTTTGAAGCTGCAGTGTTAATAAGGCTTTGTTAAGCAGAATGGTAAAAGAAAGATAAAAGGTCAACTATGCGATATGTTTACTTTCTAGCAGACACATATTGGTTGTGTTTTTCACTGGAGGAAGGTCCATTTGATATGTATTCACTGTAACACAGGCTTTTGAAAACAACATTTATGATTCTTCTGTATTTTCCCATGGTCTCTAGCAGCAGTTTGCTGCCAGAGTCATTGGTACAAACTGGGAAATGCCTTCTCTCATCCAGCAGAAGCATATAGGTCAACAAATTTGCAGCATATAAATTCAATACTTGTGAAAATACACTGTGTATCCAGATGGAGGCTTTGAATTAAATTATAATTATTATCTATGTCATTACTATCTAATTCCTGAGTTATCATAAAATATAGTATTAAAGATTAATAAAATAGCTGTCATTCCTTAAAACACAACCTTTCTGTGTATTATGCCTAAAATCTTGCTACACATTTTCTCCAATGAAAATATTTGAGTAATTCAATTCAAAAAAATGAGTGTAATTTAATAGAATTTGCCTTGAAATTTCAGTAGAAATTATGCAGGATATCTTTAATAAATATTCTCAAATTTATATAAACAAGTCCTTAGACATAAATTGAAGATATTGAGCTTGCTTTTCTTTTTTTTTAAATTTCTACTTACTTCACTTTTCTAGTGTTTGCCGAAATGCAAAGATCCAGTGCACTTCAGTGAAAATAAGAATGAAAAGTAAGTGACATTCTATAAACTAAACTGGAATAAAATCCATAGCCAACCTCCCATCCCAAACCTACTTCCCTCTTGAATTCTCTATTTACTTGTTTTGCATGTTTTTTTTTCTCCTTATGTAATACAGTAACAGATTTTCACTTTGTTGTCTCTTTACTAAGCCTATTTTTTCATAAGGATAGACTGAGATTTCTGTCTGAGAAGCTACCACCTTTCGCTAACATTTCTTTTGCCTTGATTGATCTAAACCAACAATGTACCTTCCAGGTGAAAATGAATGTTCTTCTAGCAAGAGATACTTTGACTGCAATGCATTCTCAAAGTGGACTTCACAAACACCTCTGCAACTTAGCTGCCATACTCCTCAAACTGATCATGTATGTATTCACCTTTTCTTTGTGTCTTGCTTTCTTTATTCTGTATTCTTTACATGACATGGTGCTACACAGCAAATACAGTTGTAACTAGCAGTTTATTTCTCTTTGGTTTAATCTACCCCCTTTTTGCTCCCCATGATAAGAATCTGTTGCCATTTTCACAAAGGTTTCCCTCTCCTCTTTCCTATGTCTTCAGTAGAGTCATAATTTCCAAGCAAAAAAGAATTTGAGTTCTTAGACAATCCAAAAAGAAATGAAAAACATTAGAAACCTAGAAAAAAGAACCTTATAAAACTAATCAATATTAGACTGTGTGGTTTTAAATGCAGATTTTAAAGTGTGAAAAAGTGGAATTAAGATGCAGCACTTTGTCATAAGGTAACCATTTCTCCTTATATTCCTTAGTTCCAGACAGAGTGTGTCTCAGGCTGTGTGTGCCCTGAAGGTCTATATGATGATGGCAGAGGTGGCTGTGTTGAGCAAAAAGATTGCCCGTGCATTCACAACAATGAGTGGTATTCTTCTGGAGACAAGATAAAAGTGGACTGCAACACCTGGTGGGTTATAAGTGAATACTCTCTTCTAGGATATATTCTATGCAGTATATTCATAGTCATATCTAGGTTTATGTACTAGTAGCTGCAAAAGCTGGAAGTATCATCCTTAATTTTCAGGAATACTTATTGCTATCTCAGAAAATACAGATTCTGCTGGAAGTATGGGGGTGGTAGTTACCTCTGTTTTCAGTAGGCATCTCTTATTAGGAAAACTCACTTATTTTTTAAAAATAACTGCTATCAGATCTAAAGATTATAACTCAACAAAGTAAAAATCATGTTATAGGCTTAAAAATGAGCTTATCAATTGAAGTTGAGGCTTGGAAATTTTGCATATTATCACATTATATCAGGCAGTTGCTTGGTTTGTTCTGCAGTTTTTCAAACCACACACTCTTGGTGAGATCTGAAAATTCAGCTTCTCTGCTCTCTTCTAGCACCTGCCAGAAAGGGGTTTGGAAATGCACTGATGACGTGTGCTATGGGACTTGTATGATATATGGAAGTGGCCATTATAACACTTTTGATGGGAAATTCTATGACTTTGATGGGAGCTGTGAATATGTGGCTACTCAGGTAATGCTCATCAGGAGAGCTGAAAAGGAATTTGATTGCCTTGAAAATCTACTTTCCTCTTTGGTTTTGTCATTCCTTATTGCCTGTCATCATTGTTTCCAAGGGGTTCACACATTCTGCCAGGATAAATTGTGTATTTTCAGTGCAGGCAAACTGTGTGAATGTGGCTCTTTTTTTTTTTTTTTTTTTTTTTTTTTTTTTTTTTTTTTTTTTCTGATATATATATAATAAATTACATATAACAGAACTATGTTACAGTGAGAGCTAATTATAATTTGTGAAATAAATCCACATTCCAAGCTCAGAAACTTAAAACTTTTATTTAAAGATATATTCCTCTCTTTGTTTTATTGTCCCATTCTTTTTCCCAGGCTGTGTTAACTGTTTATATGTATGCATGGAAGTATGCATATATGGCTATGCATCTGTAAAAATATGTGTGTGTAGAATCTCACATTTGACGGAGCAGTAACTATTTATACATTGTGAAGACTTAAATGATTGCAATTCTTATGAGATTGAACTACAATGAAATATTCTACCTAATTTTCTTATGCTCTTTTTTTTTTCTTTTTCAATAGGACTTCTGCGGTGACAAAAATTCCAGCGGCTCATTCAGTATCATCACAGAGAATGTCCCTTGTGGAACTACAGGAGTCACCTGCTCAAAGGCTATTAAAATGTTCCTAGGGGTGAGTGATGACAGTCAGTACATATCATTATTACCAAAAATGTGATGCTTTAAAGTCATGCCCCTAAAAGCAGCTGTAACAAGCATTAGAGGCCCTATCAAGTTATTCTGTAAAGGTGTAGGTTCTCAGGTGATGAAAACTCTCTCAAACAGAAGTGCTGCACCACTCCCTGATATCTTGGAAGTCATCCCAGAGTCTGAGCTACTTATTTCAGAATTAATTGCATTGTTACAAGTGTCTATTATTTTGTCCCATCATAGAAGTTAGTATTACAATACTTCTCTTTTGTCTTTCAGAAAACGGAACTGAAATTGGAGAACAAAGAGTACAAAGAAATTCAGCGAGATGTTGGTGATGATGTGCAGTATTGGAACAGGACAGTCGGCCTGTACCTGGTTATTGAGGCTAGTAATGGTGTGATGCTGATCTGGGACAAGAAGACTACTGTTTTCATCAAGCTGAGCCCTGATTACAAGGTTAGTGCCTGTCTGTCTTCTGAAGTAGTATTGTGAATAGACAAGGAAACATAAAAGAACAAAAATGTTCTTTTATTCTGACTCCATGTCTAATTCCTATATCCTCTGTGCACTAATTCTCAGCTTGCGTTATTACAGTCACAGCTTGCAGAAATTCTTCTGGGGTTTCTTACAGTATATCACAATGCATTGCACAGAATGCAGAGGATGTTATTCCATAGAGATAAACACCTCAGGCAATACTCTTGAGTTTGTGAGTATTGATAGCCAATCATCCAAAATAATTTAGGGGATGTGGACTGACTGCACATGTGCTTGGAAACCTACATGCAGACTCAGCCCTGTGTTAAAACCAAACTCCCTGTGCAATGTATGGTGATGGTTCTGGTTCCTGAAATTCAGCATGCTGAATTGAAGAATACTGAGGCATTGTACAAACAGTGACATACTGTTACTTGAGGGGATTGGTGGGCCTTAAATAACACTACCAAAAATTCACCACTGAAGGCAGATTGATACATTTTCTTTCAAGAAAAATGGTTCCTTGTAATTTCTTTTCCATGAATGAAGAAATGGTGATCATTATGTTAAAAACTTTTAATAAAAACATCTTGAGCAGAAATTAATTATCTCTGGCTTATATTAACAGGTTAGTTATGATAAATTGAGAATAGAGAATAAATCATTCTTCTCAGGTGTAAGAAGCTGGGGTACCCTTTAATGTTTTAAGTTGGATATGGAGACAGAGATATGAAAATACATTAGAAATAAATGATTTCAAGGAGGGAAGACATGGCAGCTGAATAATTTGCTGAGGACAGACAAATAAAAATTTATTTTCTGTACAAATGATTTCACAGTAAAGAAGAAAGTCATCATTTACACAGACAGTCATTTGTCGTTTTTCATGTCAATGTTTTGCTCTTACTTTGCCAGAGCCTGTTTCTCATTTCCATGGTGTATTTAAAAACTCAATTTTCTTTTCCAGGGCAAAGTGTGTGGTCTGTGTGGCAACTTTGATGACAAAGCAAACAATGACTTTACAACAAGGAGTGGACTGCAGGACAATAATCCTCTGAATTTTGGAAATTCCTGGAAGCAATCTCCCATGTGCCCGGATGTCACAGAAGAGATTAAGCCCTGTGATCTGAAACCACACCGGAAGTCTTGGGCAGAGAAAGAATGCAGCATCATCCAGAGTGAAGTCTTCAAAATTTGTCACTCCAAGGTTTGTAGAAGACAGTGGGTGATGGGACAGCACAGTGCATTTCTGATAATGCAGAACCAAAAAGACCATCAGAAATGAATGAAGAGGTGGTTAAATAGATTGATCTTCAATTAAGTCTTGAGTACAGCTACAGGTGTCAGAACTTTCATGTGGCCTTAGTCAAAGTAGTCTGAGTCTCTGTGGCAATGGGACTGTGTCAGTGGTGGTGGCAGCCCCAGCTGTACAAACCCATATTCATCACCACAGTTTCACTGCTACTACTCTGCAAGTTAGCTTCAGAAATGTGTCCTGAACAGGTCTATGTTTGCTGCAGTTGCACCATCTCTTGTTGAGAGACAGTCAGTATTACTAGTACTGAAGGACCTTACAATCATCAGATCCATCTCCTGATGAAAATTCATATTAAACATGAAAGGTGGCTATTGAAGAGGCTACTACTTCTTGTAGTATTTAATCCACAAAAGGATCTTTTTACACACCACTGACATCACATAGTTTAGACAGACAGCTGCTAGTACTGTGCCTCCAAATTGTCACAGCAAACACTGACAGCCCACAGCTTCCAGAGTACAATGCACAGAGAGCACTCCTCTTTATTTCTCATCTCTGTCCTGATGCATGGTAATATGAACAACAATTTGTTCTTAAGTCACAGTGGAAAAGTCACAAACAATTATTAATTTAATTAATTAGTTATAATTTCCATGTGGTTTACTTCAGCAGCAAAAATCCAGTCTAAATTTCTCCTCTTGCAGTCTCAAATAAAAAAAAAAATTAAAAAAGCTTTTTTTTTAATGTGTCATTGGATTAACTCCAAAAACTGATAGGCACAAAATTGCATGCTTCATATTTGCTGTGAATGCAGCCTTTCTGACATTGTTCACCATTTGATTGGCAAAGCTTGCTGGAAGATAAGACTTCACTGGCATCAATTCAGCTTGGTTTTGGGAGCACTAAAATGGAACTCTTTTAGAAAATATGAGCACTGCCAGGGACTCTTACTTTGTTTTTTTCAGTCATAGCAACTCATGAAGGAACTATATTCTTTTAAGTCTATTATTCCCCAAAACATATAGAGCAGCTTCATGCCTGTAAGTGTTTGTGATTTGGTAACTAACTCTTGACACAGTCTCATTCCTTCCTAGTTCAACTCCCATATATCAACAGCTCTCAAACATATTTGTTTGAAGACTAATTTGGAGATGAACTGGAGCATCATTTTTTCCCCTGACAGGTGGACCCCCTTCCTTACTATGAGGCTTGTGTTCATGATGCCTGTTCCTGTGACAGCGGTGGGGACTGCGAGTGCTTCTGCTCTGCAGTTGCAGCGTATGCCCAGGAGTGCATCAAGGCTGAGGCCTGTGTTTTCTGGAGAACTCCTGATATCTGCCGTGAGTAACAGATAAACACAGCTGTATCTTTCTAGCTGCTGTCAGAAAGCCAGTCAAATAAATCATTAGTACTGTCACTGCAAGGTCATGCTGGATACTTGGTGAAACCTTTTCTCAGCATATCAGGGAACAAACAGGCTAGTAAATTTGTGTATTTCAACTGTCTTCTGTTCAGCCTGGCTCCTCTTCTCTTCTCTTCTCTTCTCTTCTCTTCTCTTCTCTTCTCTTCTCTTCTCTTCTCTTCTCTTCTCTTCTCTTCTCTTCTCTCTCTTTCAGTTGTTAAAATTACTCAGAATTTGATTTTAGCAAAAAATACATAGCACTCCCATGCTTTAGCACTGAACCTAATCAGTGTTATATATATTAAGCAGTGTCCATTAGTGGTGCTAGTACTCATACCAGTACATCATAAATTAATGTAAAATAGTATTTAAATTAATATTACCCAAAAAGTGCTGAAATCAAAATTTTGAGATTCTAAGTAGCAGAAATATATATTTTTTTAATTTAAAAATTCATTTAGATTCAGAAATTGGACTAATTGGAGCTTTTAAGTGTAAGAAGCCACTGAAACAAAAAATTGTAAGTTTAATTCAGCTCTGATATATAAGTTAATAGAAGCTCCTTCCTCTGTCTGTAGTCATCTAAGCTGAATTTAAGTTGTATTCATAATGGCTCATATGCTTCCTCTTGGACTTTCAGCCTGTGTGATACAGCAAGATGGAACTATTTTGTATGAAACTGAAAAATATTTAGGAGTTTGCTTGTAGCTATTGAAGAAAAATACTCTCAGAAATATACCTTTAATTTTAAACTAAAATAATTTATTTTAAATAGTTCTACTTTATGATTTGAAGCATTGTTACCCAGTGGCCTGAATATTTAAAATTTCAGTCTTGAGCACTAGTATTTTGATGTATCTTAAATTTAAGAAGAGTGGCAGAAAATCTTGTACCTCAAGAGAAATTTGGCCAGGTTAACTTGAAAATTGATGTAGCTTGTATCTTTAAATGCCTGCTCAGAAGCGCATCCTGAGTTTTTAATCAGCTTCTCTCTTTTCTCATCAGCGATATTCTGTGACTACTACAACCCTCGCAATGAGTGTGACTGGCACTACGAGCCTTGTGGCAGTAATATCACAACCTGCAGGATGATCAATAATGTCAGCACCAACTTTACAGTACCACTACTGGAAGGTAATAAATTCCTTACCATTTGACATTGTGTTTTGTATAACTTTTTTCAGATATCTTTTAATAATTATGGACTAGTCTGTCAACTTGATGAAATATTCCTATATCTTCTATGAAAAACCTGTTTGTTAGTGAATCCACTTCCATACTCCGCACAAAATTATTATTGATATAGTGATCTATACAAAAATTGGGGTGTTTCTTTGTCTTAAAATTACTAGTTGCCCATAGAAATGAGTATGAATCAGGGGTTTTCCCAAGGTATTGAACTAAAAAAAAGAAACTTCACTAGTGTTCATAAAAAAACTTATTTAATCCTCCTCACACCAGTATTATCAGTGAGAACTGTTGAAGCCTTTTGGAAGGGCTAATTGTCCGCAGTTTCATTTGAATGGGAAGTTTTAGATTTTTTTTTTTCACTATGCTTGATTCAGTGAGAATAGTTTACCTTCAGAAGGTAACATATCACCGAGTTAACTTTTTGTACTTTTTCTCCATCTTTATTCTGTTCTACCTGTCATCAATAGGTTGCTACCCCAGATGCCCTAAGGACAAGCCTATTTATAATGAAGAGACAAAGCAATGTGTGACCGAAGATCAATGTGGATGTTACCTGGAGGATGGAACCCATATACTCCCTGATCAAGAAGTACCCACAAAAGAAAACTGTACAATATGGTATATAAAAATTATTTGCAGTAATTCAGGAAGTAATTAGTGTATGCAGAGTCCTTAATTTACTTTACTGGGCCTCAAACAGAGATGCAGCTTCAGCTGAAGAGCTGGTATATTCTTGCATTTCTTAATTTTCCAAACCCATAATAATCCAGATTTCAGGTTGGTAGTGTTATTATAATAAGTGTATCAGCAAATTAATTAATTATACTTGTCAACTGTCATCAATTATATAATGAAACCTCAATGAACTTCTAAAACAACCTTTCAATTCTCACTGCTCTTTGGGAAGAGAGGTGCTGCTCTGCCTTGCATTCTTACTTAAAACTGGACTTCAAAATCACTCTAGTCTGAAATACTCTTGCCCTGAAAGAGATAGTGGAGTCCTAACTGTTCATGCTTAGAGTGTTAGCAATGACAGCACTTACACCTCTGGCTCTACATGGTGGCAAGAGAATAATCTGATCTAGCTGAAAGTTCACTCTGCAAAACAGTTGTTATTACAGTATTGCAACTTGCAATTAAACTGAAAGTGGTGACTTAGTTTGAAAGAAAAATGGTAGGCAATACTAGAAAATATACCCAGAAAAATATCTACTAGTGAATGAAGATCAAGTTACAAATATCTATGTTTCTATGCTCTTGAATCTGCTAACAGATGTCATAAAACATATCAACATTTTAATTTTTGAAAATTTTTATTTTAGTGTCTGTGATCCGTCAGGATCCATACAGTGCAAACCACTCCCAGGTAAATAATGTTTGGTTTTTTTCTGGAAACAAAAAGAAAAGAAAATGCACAGAACTGCTCTGTCTGACTTTACAGAGGCTTAGTATTGATTTAGAATAATTCTTTCCAGTGCTAGTTAAAGTTGTGACTGAAGAAAATTTGGCAGCACTTTTGTTGAACCTTGCTGTTAGTACTCCTGGTTAAACTTTTTTCTCATGCCCTTTCAGTCTTTCTCCCCATGTCCCATATACAAACTAATGGATTTCATTATGAATTTACACTTCCTGAACATGTAGTTATTAGTATAAAAGCGTTCAGGTAGTAAATTGCAATTATTATTTCTCTTAGAACATTTTAAAACTTACTTTCTAAGTTGTACTACCAGGCATTTTATTCAGGACTTTATTAAATATGTTCTTACATTGCTTTAAAGGTAAAGATAAATTAGCACAATATAGTAGATCTAAGCTCCAGGTACAGGTCTGAAAAACATGCATGACTCATGTAAATGCTCTCTTGTCCATAAGTATTTTGCCTCTGCCTCTTACATGGTAGTAGGAAAATTGCACAGTAAAGCTCTTTCTTGCAGGGTGTCCTTGTATCATCAATGGAACAAGTTATGAAGAGGGTGCTACTGTGGGACACGTACAGGACGGCGAGATATGTATAACATACATTTGTGCAGCAAATGGCTCTGTAGTTCCTGGTGAAGTCTATCCTTGTCCAACATCTTCACCTACAACCATCTCAACCTCCTCCCCTCACAGTACTCTTACCACCACCACCACAGGTAAATCATCAATACAGATGAGATCTAAAAAATTGGTTTTTTTAAGGAAAATACTTTAAATATAGAATGTACAATTATATGGGATTATAGTTGACACAGATAGAGCAATATTTATGGATTGTTTTATCACACCACACTAAGAAAGACTTTTAGCATTTTGAGTTGATTTATTTCTCAGGAAAAAAATTGTAAGTATAAATGTGTAGGGTGCCTTCCTATTTTTGAAAAAAAGTTAGCTTTTCAATATCCTAATGGGATAGTAGAAATAATGTTAGGAGTGTCAGAAAAAAAAAATACTATTATATTTCTTTTGAAATGATAATCTCTTTTTCTTGTATTTCAGTTTCCACTACAAGCCACCCAGTCACTACAAGTAAGTTATAAATACAAAACAATGTTGTTAAAAATGTCAAAGGGATATTTAAAGGAAGAGTAAATTAAAGACAATCAACACAGAAAAAATATATTTTAAACAAAAACGAATAATTTTTTTTTAAATAATTTCAAAAGTGTCATTAGTATAGAGAGAAAAATGACCTTTAAAGGCTTCAGCTTGGTGATTTTATTTTGATGCACAACTTCCAGTTTAAAAACCTAGTAATAGAGAACTGATTTTAGAACTCTTTTCTTTGGAAAGATTACAAATTGCAATGCAGTCCCCTAGTCCTTAATGGAAGAAAATAAAAAATGCATCTTTTCAGGATGTTCTCTGTAAAGACTGAAACCTCTGTCTTTTCTTGCAGCTCCATGCATACTCACAGAACTAATCTGTGATTGGACTGAGTGGTTTGATGTTAGTAAACCTGAAGAAGGTGGTGGTGACTATGAAACATATGATGAAATAAGAAAACATGGAAACAAAATATGTACAGCTCCTGAAAAAATTGAATGCAGGGCTAAGGATAAACCTGATGTGAGCTTAGAAGAACTTGGTCAGAAAGTAGAGTGTAACGTTAAATATGGGCTAATCTGTAAAAATGATGAGCAAGATGTAACTATGTGGCCACTCTGCTATAATTATGAAATCAGAGTAAACTGTTGTGAGTGGCAGGAAGTTCCTTGTGGGCCTACAGTTACACCTACTATACCTTCAACTGCAACCACCACCCAGACAACTATAAGCAGCACCACTACAACCAGGACTACAACAGAAATTACCACCATGCCCATACACATCCATTCCACAACATGTGAGTATACACCATCAGTCCTCACCCTGTTAACTTCAACATCTCCAGGTATTTAACTGAAAAATAGTCCATGATCTTTGCCTTTGGAGAAATATAGGGCTCATGGCTACTGAAGGCAGGTCACAATCATAGAAAATGTTGGTCTGCAAGGAAGCCTTACTTAGGAGAGTTTTGACTTTTAAGTTTCTGCTGGAGTATTCCCAAAAGGACCTGCTGTGTGAGAAAACAGTAGGCCATGCTTCAAACTGCTGTTGCTAGAGGCATTGTCTGGGTGGGACTGCACAGGCTTCCTTCTTCAGGCTGACATTGTCTTGCTGATTTTATGAGAAGCACTTTCCAGCATTATGCCTAATCTCTTCACTAGGAAAAGAGGTTCATGACCCTCTCTGTGCATGGATGTCAAGGATTCTGCTTTCTACAGACAGAAAGCCAGGGATGGTGCTAGGGACCTTTGCAGTGCTCTCTAGCTGTGTGGCCACTGCCTCATGCATAGCTTCTGTTCAGTTCCTCTTCAGTCCCACTCATGCCTCTGTGCCTTTGTCTCTTTTCTCTGTCCCTGCTGTTTCTAACAGCCCCAACTCCACCCACACCAAGCACACCAAAATCGACAACCACTCCCTCCACGCCGGAGACTCCCACCACCACCAGCACCCCGACAACAACCACCACTGGACCACCAACGCCCACCTCAACTACTTCAAGCACATCCTCACCAACACCAACATACACCACCACCACACCAACTCCAGGTACTTCTCTGGACTGTTCTCTGATGAGTTCCTTTGCTGTGGGAGAAATTAAGCTGCCTTGGCCCCTCCTTTAGTGTGTCTCCATGGGATTGCAGATTGGAGGAATTACTGTTCATCCCCTCAAGTGCCCTGTGGTCAAAGTTGGCCTTTTGGCCAGCTGGTTAAAAAGAACAGGGATTTAGGGATCCTAGGGTGAAGGTCTTGGCTTCCCTGATTCAAAAGACTCCCAGGTAAAATTTCATGCTGGTGCCCAGCTTAGAGAGGTGCTGAACTGATGGAAATTCTTGATTTTCCTGCTGTTGGACCTTGTCCTGGCCAGAATGTAGTCACTGGACCCACAGATGGAGGGGTATTGGAGTGAGGCTTTATTCTGCGATACTCTCATTCTAGGAACAGCTGGGCAGAATTTCTTCCCTTTTTTCTCCTCGTTTGGCATGTCAGTACAAGTGCATAAAAATGGTTCTAGATCTTAGAAGCAGGAATTACACTGGGAGACTTTTGGAAACAGTTTTATAATAAAAAATGCCACTTCTTGTGAACTATACCCTTTTGCTGATGACATCTGCAACTCTGGGAAGTTGCAGATGACTGATGTCTCTAGAACTCTGGGAAGCCCTTCATCAGGCTGAAATACCACCAGAGGGAAATTTCATGAGAGTCAGGCATGAACTTACTCCTCTTCCCACTTTCATCTCTGACAATGAATTCACCACACAGCTCTTACTGAAAGGATTTATGAATTGTTCAGGTAGTGAGGCAGAGATAGAAAGTGCCAGCGGCTTAAAAAGCATTACACGTCCTCATCACTTAGCTATTGGTAGGTCTCTCTTATTTGGTGAGAAGCACCTTCCAGAACCATCCCCAGTCTCCTAGCTAGGAAAGGAGGACCATCATTCTTTATGTGCATGGATTTCAAGGATTTTTCTCTCTGGGGCCAGAATGGAAGGGTTGGTGCTAGGGATCTCTGCTCAGCTAACGGTGGGCTGACCCCGTTACTGGATCAACAACCACCATCTCAACTCCTGAAAGTATGTTCCCAGCAGAAGTAATTCCCGCCAAATTCCAGTGTATCTAACTACACAGCCAACAAATAATTATCTGATTCATCTGTCATTTCTCACCTTGCACTGGGAGTACTGAAGGTCTGACAGTACCTCCATTTGTGGCTCTGGATGGGATTGGGAATGCATGTAACTTCTGGATGTCTTAGGAAATGTCATGTGCCCAAAGCCATCATTTTGGTCTGGCTGTTTCAGAGGGAACAATTATTTAGGGGTCTTGGCGAGAATGTTTTGACTTCCTTGACTCAGCAGTGCTTCCGGAAGGCATTCCATCCAGGTGCCTCATCTTGTAGAGATTCTGAAGCAATGGAATCCTTCCTTTTACCCCTGTTGTTTGTTAATCCTTCAGCTGGCCAGAATGTAGTCACAGACCCATGGAGTGCAATTGGAGTGGGACTTGGTCTTGTGACACTTGCATTTCAGGCTCTGTTTGGGGACAGTTCTGTATAGTTTCCCACCTTTCTATTCCTCCTTTACCCTTGTACCGTTGATGGTGTTCAGCTACTCTAGGTGTAAGAAGGAAGGATTTTTTGGCAGGATTTTGGGAACAGTTTCAGTAGTTTCAGTCTGCATACTACCCTTTGCTGTGAACTGTCGTCTTTGGCTGATCAGATCCACTAGTGCACTGGGGAGCCCTTTATCAGGCTGACACTGGAAAATCACATGACAAACAGGCAGCAAGATATCCCTGTGCATGCTTCCTTCCCTTACCACACATTCCCATCTCAGGTCTTACTCCAGTGTGTAGTGAGGTGCTCAGGTAATGAGGCAGAGCTAGAAAGCTCCAGCAAGTTTGGAAGCATTACTGCTCCTCATTTCTTACCTATTGGTAGGTCATTCTGACTTTGTAAGAAGCACCTTCCAGCACCATTCCCAGTGTCCTACTTAGGAGAGGAGGGCCATGACGCTCTCTGTGCATGCATGTCAAGGATTCTGCTTTCTGGGGCCAGAGCAGGATGATTGATTCTGGGGGCCTTTGTTGTTCTAAGGGTGGGCTGACCTGTCTAGGTCTGTGGCCACTGCCTGATGCACAGCTTCTGTTGCATTCACATTGAGTCCCACTGATGCCTTTGTGCCTTTGTCTGTTTTCTCTGTCCCTGCTGTTTCTAACCTCCCCAACTCCACCCACACCCAGCACACCAAAATCGACAACCACTTCCACGTCACCGGAGACTCCCACGACCACCACCAGCCCTCCAAGCACAACAACAACAACAACAACAACGGTTATTGGATCAACCACCACCATCTCAACTCCTGAAAGTATGTTCCCAACAGAAGTAATTTCCACCAAATTCCTCTGTATCTAACTACCAACAGCTGATGTCTTTGTGCCTTTGTCTGTTTTCTCTGTCCCTGCTGTTTCTAACAGGCACAACTCCATCCACACCAAGCACAGTGTCCTCTACAACAGGGCCGCCAACCCGTCCCACCACCACTGCCAGCACCTCGATGCCCCCCAGCAGCTCCACCAGCATCAGCACCCCGAGCACGACAACAGTTACTAGACCGCCAACACCCACCTCAACTGCTCCAAGCACATCCACGCCCACACCAACATACACCACCACCACACCAACTCCAGGTGCGTCTACATTTTGTGCTCTCACATGTTCCCCTGCTGTTGGAGTATTGAAGGTCCGTCAGCACCTCTTTCTGCCCCTGTATGGAATCAGGATGGGTATAATTTTCAGGTATTCCAGGAAATGGGCTGGTCCTACCCTGGTGTTTTGGGCTGGCTGCTTCATAAGGAACAAGAATTCAGGGGTCATGGGAGAAGGTCTTGGCTTCCCTGACTCAATAGGGCTCTAAGGAGGTAGAGCATGCTGGTGTCCAGCTTAGAGAGATGTTAAACTGATGAGAAATGTTGCTTTTGCTGGTTTTGGGCCATCTTTCTGCTGGTCAGAATGGAACCACTGGATCCATGGAGTTCAATGGGAGTAGGGCTTGGTCTACTGGCAGTGGCATATCAGGTTCTGTTTGGGCACAGCTGTGCTAAGTTTTTTCCCCTCCGCCTTCTCAGTGATAACAGTTGTCAGTTGTAATAGCTGTAGTAATGAAAGATTCCCCTGCCAGACTTTTGGGAACAATTTCTCTCTGCAGACTGCCCCTTGCTGTGAACTGTAGCCTTTCATGAGATTTACTAGTGCCCAGGGAAGTCATTCATCATGCCTTCATTGCACTACAGGGATATCACATGACGATCAGACAGGAATATATTCACAGAATAAGTTAGGTCAGAAAAAAATCTCTGAGATCATCATGTCCAGCCTTTGCCTGAACACCACAATGTCACCTAGATGATGTGCTAAGTGCCACATCCACTTTTGTCTTAAAAGCCGCCGGACACTGTGGCTCTGCCACCTCCTTGGGCAGTCAATTGCAGTGTCTAATCATTTGTTCTCTGGAGATATTCCTCCTAACATCCAACTTAAACCTCCCGCAGCATAACTGCCTTATGCACAGCTTCTGTTGAGTTCACACTGAATCCCACTGATGCCTTTGTGCCTTTGTCTGATTTCTCTGTCCCTGCTGTTTCTAACAGGCCCAACTTCATCCACACTGAGCACACCAAAATCGACAACCACTTCCACGTCACCGGAGACTCCCACCACCACCACCAGCCCTCCAAGCACAACAACAACAACAACCACTGTTACTGGATCAACAACAACCATGTCAACTCCTCAAAGTATGTTCCCAAAAGCAATAATTCTCACCAAAACCCCTCTGCCCCCAGGAACAGAATCAACAAATAATTTCTGGTTCTGTTGTCATGTCTGGCCTTGCTTTGGGAGTAGTGAAGGTCCATGAAACACCTCTATATGTGTCTCTAGGTGGGATCAGGGATGGGTGTAACTTCTGGGAGTCCCAGGAAAAGTTCTGTGGCCAAATCTGACCCTTGGGCTGGCTGTTTCATAAGGAACAAGGATTTAGGGGTTCTTGGGGGAAGGTCTTGTCTTTCCTGACTCAACAGTGCTTCAAGGAGGTATTTCATGTTGGTACCCAGCTTAGACAGATGCTGAACAAATGGGCAACATTGCTTTTGCAGCTGTTGGACCGTGTCCTTCAGCTGTCCAGAATGTAGTCACTGGACCCATGGAGTGCAATTGCAGTGGGACTTGGTCTTGTGGAAGTGCATTTCAGGCTTTGTTTGGGCTCAGCCCTTTCTCCTCCTCCTGTGCCCTCTCAGTGTTAGTGCTTGTCAGCTGACAGACATGCAAGAAGGGATGATTTTCCTGCCAGCCCTTGAGGGAATAGTTTCCCTCTGCAGACTGCCTACTGCTGTGAACTTTTGGTCTTTGGCTGACACCTCACCTGGTGAGATCCACTAGTGCCCAGGGAAGCCCTGCATGAGGCTGACATTGAAATACAGGGGGAATCACATGCCAATCTGACATGAACATACTCCTGGGCATGCTTTCCTTCCCAGCTTCCACTCTTATCTCCAATTTCATGAATTAGTGAGGTGTTCCAGTAATGAGGCAGAGATAGGAAGCTCCAGCCAGATCCAAAGCATTGCTCCTCCTCATCTCTTACCTATTGGTTGGTCTGTCTGATTTTGTGAGAAGCACCTTCCAGCACCGTCTTTAATCTTTTCACTAGAAGAGGAAGGCCATGACCCTCTCTGTGGATGGATTTCAAGGATTCTGCTTTCTATGGCCAGAAAGGAAGGGCTGGTTTTGGGGACGATTGTTGTGCTAATGGTGGGCTGACCTGTTTAGTTCTGTGGCAGCTGCCTCATGTGCAGTTTCTGTTGAGTTTCTGTTGAGTCCCACTGATGCCTTTGTGCCTTTTTCTGTTTTCTCTGTCCCTGCTGTTTCTAACAGCCCCACCTACGAAGACACCGAGCACACCAGAAACTCCCATCATCACTTCCAGCACCACGATGCCCCCCAGCAGCACCACCAGCATCAGCACCCCCAAGACAACAACAACAACTGTTACTGGCTCATCAACAACATTCTCAACTACTTCAAGCACATCCCCACCCATATGGGAACATACAACCACCGTATCAACTCCAGGTAGTTCTGCCTTGCCTGATCTTGTATCCCCTTGCTTTGGGAGTAATGAAGATCTGTTAGCACCTCCATTTGTGCCTCAGTATGGAATTGGGGATGGCTGTAACTTCTGTGCATGCCATGAAATGTCCTTGGTTGAAGCTGGAACTTGTGTTGGCTGTTTCAGAAGTGATGAGAATTCAGGGTTCCTTGTGAGAAGCTCTTGGCTTCCATTACTCAACAAGTATCTAAGAAGGTATTTCATGCTGGCACTCCTGCTGGGCTTAGATGCTAACTTGATGGGGAATCTTGAGTTCTTGTTAGACCTTGTCCTTCATCTGTCAAGAATGTAGTCAGTGGACTTAAGGTGTGAAATTGCAGTGGGGATTACTCTTGTGGTACTGCAATTTCAGGTGCTTTCTGGGAAAAATTTTGTAGACTTTATTCACTATCTTCTCTGCCATTGCAATGTCAGCACTAGTGGATGCCATTGTTTATAGATGTAGAAAGCAAGGATTTCTGTGACAGGCTTTTGGGAACAGTTTCACTCTGCAGACTGTCACTTCCTCTGAAGTGTGGTCTTTGGCTGATGAGATTCACTAATCCTCTGGGAAGCCCTTGAGAGGGCTGACATCCAATCACTGGTATATCTTATGACAACGAGGCAGGAACATATTCCTGTGTGTGCTTTGTTCTTAAACCACACAATCCCCTCTCAGCTCGTGCCCTAGGATTTGTTGAGGTGTTCAGGTAATGAGGCAGAGATAGAAGGCCACAGCCAGATCCAATGCATTACTTCTCCTCATCTCTTGCTTGGTCTCTCTGATTTTGTGAGAAGCACCTTCCAGAACCATCCCCAGTCTCTTCAGAAAGAAAGGAAGGACTCTGTGCATGAATGTCAAGGATTCTGCTTTCTTGGGCAAGAAATAGAGGGGGTGGTGCTAGATGGAAAGGGAGGAGTGGTTCTGGGGACCTTAGTTTTCCTAAGGGGGGCTGACCTGTCTAGGTCTGTGGCCACTGCCTGATGGGCAGCTTCCGTTGAGTTCACATTGAGTCCCACTGATGCCTTTGTGCCTTTGTCTGTTTTCTCTGTCCCTGCTGTTTCTAACAGCCCCAACTCCACCCACACCAAGCACGCCAAAATCGACAACTACTTCTACGTCACCGGAGACTCCCACGACCACCACCAGCCCTCCGAGCACAACAACCACTGTTACTGGTCCACCAACACCCACCTCAACTACTTCAAGCACATCCTCTCCCACGCCAACGTACACCACCACCTTATCAACTCCAGGTACTTTTAAATTTTGTAGTCTCATATGTTCTTTGCCTTTGGGAGTGCTGGGTGTCTGTGAACACCTATTTTTTTGCCTCTGTATTGCATCAAGAATGAATTAACTTCGGGACAGTCCCTGAAACAGCCTTTCCCCGTAGCTGGCTCTTCATCTCTGTTTCAGAAGGAACCAGGACTTAGTAGCTTTTGCTGCTGTTAGACCTTGCCTTCCAGCTGACCAGAGTGGTGTCCCTGGCGTGTAATGAAGTGGGGCTTGATATTGTAACATTTGCATTTCAAGCTCTCTTTAGGCACAGATGTATGGTCTTTCTTCCTTCTCTCTTGCTCCTTTCCCATGTCAATACCAATGCTTCTCAACTATTATAGATGCAGGAAGAAGGCATTCCTCTGCCATGCTTTTGGAAACAGTTTCACTCAGCAGACTGTGACTTTCTGTGAACTATGGTCTTTGCCTGACAAAATTCACTATTACTCTGAGAACTCCTGACATCAGAAAACCACATGCCAATCAGCCAGGAACATATTCCTGTGCATGCTTCCTTGCCTGATCACAGCTTCCCATCTCAGCTCTTTCCTGAGGATTTAGTGTGGTGTTCTAGATAATGAGGCAGAGATATAAAATTCCAGCATGATCAAAAGCATTGCTCCTTCTCATCTCTTACCTGTTGGTAGGTCTTTCTGATTTTTTGCAAAGCACCTTCCAGCACCATCCCCTTATTCTCTTCCCCCCTTAGTCTCTTATTAGGAGAGGAGGGCTATGAGTGTGTGCACAAATTTCAAGGAGTTTGCTTTCTGGGGCCAGAAAGGAAGGGCTCATCCTAGGGATCTTTGCTGTACTAAGGGTGGACTGGCCTCTCTAGTTCTGTGGCAACTGCCTCCTGCACACCTTCTGTTCAGCTCCTATTGAGTCCCACTCATGTATTTGTGTAGTGCAATTGCAGTGGGACTTGGTCTTGTGGAAGTGCATTTCAGGCTCTGTTTGGGTTCAGTTTTGTAGACTTTCCTCCTTTTCTCCTCCTTCTGTGCCCACTGTATGTGCTAGTTGTGTTGTCAGTTGTTAAACATGTAAGAAGGAATGATTGTCCTGCCAGCCTTTTTGGGAACTTTGCAGACTGCCTTTTGTTGTGAACTGTAATTTTTGGGTGATGCTATCTCTGATGAGATCCACTAGTGCCCAGGGAAGCCCAGCATCAGACTGACGTTGGAACACAGAAGGAATCACATGCCAATCATGTGCATGCTTCCGTCCTTGATTGCAGCTTCCCATTTCAGCTCTTACACCAGGATTTAGCAAAGTGTTCAGATAATGAGGCAGAGACAGAAAGGCCTAGCTGGATACAAAGCATTGCTCCTCCTCATCTCTTACCTATTGGTTGGTCTGTCTGATTTTGTGAGAAGCACCTTCTGGCACCATCTTTAATCTCTTCACTAGGAGAGGAAGGCCATGACCCTCTCTGTGCATTCTATGGCCAGAAAGGAAGGGCTGGTTCTGGGGACTGTTGTTGTGCTAAGGGTGGGCTGACCTGTTTAGTTCTGTGGCCACTTCCTGATGCACAGCTTCTGTTGAGTTTGCATTGAGTCCCACTGATGCCTTTGTGCCTTTGTCTGTTTTCTCTGTCCCTACTTTTTCTAACAGCCCCAACTCCACCCACACCAAGCACACCAAAATCGACAACCACTTCTACGTCACCAGAGACTCCCACGACCACCACCAGCCCTCCAAGCACAACAACCACTGTTACTGGACCACCAACACCCACCTCAACTACTTCAAGTGCATCCTCACCAACACCAACATACACCACCACCACACCAACTCCAGGTATTTCTCTGTCCTGTGCTGTTGCTTGCTCCCGTCCTGTTGCCCTGAAGGTACATGAGCACCTCAAATTTTGCATCTCAGATAGATCCAGGATGGGTATAACTTCAGGGCAACACTGGAACAGCCTTTGTTTAAAACTTGCCTTTCATCTGGCTATTGAAGAAGGAAAAATGTTTTGTCGTTCTGGGGAAAAGGTCTTGGCTTCCCTGACAGAGAGCCTGCTATGAAAAATTTTGTGCTCCTGCTGGACCTTGGTTGCACAGATGCTGAACTGATGGGAAATCTTGCCTTTTTTGCTGCTGGACCTTGTCCTTCAGCTGGCCAGAATTTAGTCACTGCTTTGGGTTTTTTGGCACTGGCATTTTAGGCACTATTTGTGCATAACTGTGTAGACATTCTTCCCTCTCTCCTGTTCCTTTGCCCTGTTAGTGCAAAAATGTTTTAGTGGTTATAGATGTAGGAAGAAGGATTCTTCTGCCATCCTTTCAGAACAGTTTCATTCTGCAGACTGTGACATTCTTTGACCTGCTTCTTTGGCTGATCAGATCCACTAGTACTCTGAGAATCCACTACTCAAGGCAACATTGAGAAAACCACATGCCAATCAGGCAGGAACATATGCTGTACATACTTCCTTCCCTGATCACAGATTCCCATCTCAGCTCTTACTCCCTGAGTTAGTAGTCAGGTAATGAGGCAGAGATAGAAAGCCCTGGCCAGATCCACAGCATTACTGCTCCTCATCTCTTACCTATTGGTAGGTCTCTCTGATTTTGTGAGAATCACCTTCCACCACTATGGGCAGTCTCTGCTAGGAGAGGAGAGCCATGATACTTTCTGTGCTTTGATTACAAATATTCTGCTTTCTACAGACAGAAAGCCAGGGCTGGTGCTAGGGACCATTGCTGTGCTAAGCTGAGCTCTCTAGCTCTCTGCCAGCTGCCTCACGTGCAGCTACTTTTCAGTTCACATTGAGTCCTACTGATGCCTTTGTGCCTTTGTCTGTTTTCTCTGTCCCTGCTTTTTCTAACAGTCCCAACTTCATCCACACCAAGCACACCAAAATCAACGACTCCACTGACGGAGACTCCCACCTCCACCACCAGCCCTCCAAGCACAACAACCACTGTTACTGGACCACCAACACCCACCTCAACTACTTCAAGTGCATCCTCACCAACACCAACATACACCACCACCACACCAACTCCAGGTACTTCTCTGTCCTGTGCTGTTGCTTGCTCCCTTCCTGCGGTTGCCCTGAAGGTACATGAGCACCTCAAATTTTGTGTCTCCGATGGATCTGGGATGGGTGTAACTGCAGAGCATCCCTGGAAGAGCCATTGCTTAAAACTTGTCTTTCATCTGGCTATTGAAGAAGGAAAAATGTTTTGTGGTTCCGGGCAAAAGATCTGGTCATCCCTCATTCAAAAAGCTCAGAGGAGGTGTTTCATACTGATGCTCAGCTTACACAGATCTTGAAGTGATGGGAAATCTTGCCTTTTTTTGCTGCTGGACCTCGTCCCTCAGCTGGCCAGAACATATTCACTGGACATATGTGCAATTGTGGCATGGCTTTGGTTTTTCAGTACTGGCATTTTAGGCACTGATTGGACATAACTGTGTAGGTCTTCTTCCCACTCTCCTGTTCCTTTGCCCTGTCAGTGCTAATGCTTGACAGCTGTTATAGATGTAGGATAGGATATGCTTTTGGAAAGAGTTTCATTCTGCAGACTGTGACTTTCTGTGAACTGTAGTCTTTAGCTGATCAGATCCACTAGTACTCTGAGAAGCCACTTACCAGGATGACATTGAGAAAACCACATGCCAGTCAGGCAGGAAGATACTGCTGGGCATGCTTCCTTGCCTGATCACAGCTTCCCATCTCAGCTCTTTCCTGAGGATTTAGTGTGGTGTTCTAGATAATGACATGGAGACAGAAAGCCCCAGCAAGATCAAAAGCATTGCTCCTTCTATCTCTTACCTATTGGTAGGTCTTTCTGATTTTGTAAGAAGTACTTTCCAGCACCATCTCTTTGCTAAGAGGGAAGGGACCTGACCCTGTGTGTGCATGGGTTTCAAATATTGTGCTTTTTGGGACTAGAAAGGAAGGGCTGGTGCTAGGCTAGTCTGGCCTCTCTAGCTCTGTGGCTGCTGCCTCATGTGCAGCTTCTGTTGAGTTTGCATTGAGTCCCACTGATGCCTTTGTGCCTTTCTTTTCTCTGTCCCTGCTGTTTCTAACAGGCCCGACTTCATCCACACTGAGCACGCCAAAATCGACAACCACTTCCACGTCACTGGAGACTCTCACCACCACCACCAGCCCTCCAAGCACCACAACCACTGTTCCAATTACCCCCACAACTCCTGAAAATATTAACACCATAACCCCGTCGGTTCCACCCACTGAAGCACAAAGTAATTCCCAGGGTTTCATGTTCTTTGCTGATTTTAGAAAGCAGGATTTATTGGCAGCTTAACACGTGTTTTAGTTTCTAAACTGTGCACTAATGTAGTTGATTGTATTTCAAAAACATCCCATCTGACCTTTCAGCAGCAATGTTATATCCCCTACTGTCCCAGTTCATCTGCCTCTGTTAAAGGGCATGAAGTACACGAAGGAGTTTGCCTGTTCCCACCCAAATGTAAATTAGTTTTCATTGAAGGACTGTCCTTGTGGGTTGCCTGGGCAAAAGCAGTGCATCTTAATTCTTCTAGCATTATTACTGCACTCTTATTATGTACACAGTGCTTCTCTCTCTACCATGTGTCACTTATATTATGCTATAAAAGCACAAATAGATAGCTCTGATGCTGGCCTGTGAGAGTCATGAACATTTTTTAACATCCTAATCAAAAACTATGTTAAAGGAGTCTCCATTAACAATCATAATGAAAACTGGCCATGTGAAAAAGTAGAAAAGAGTATTTTGGGTCCGTAGCATTCCAAAATAGCTTGTGTGTGAGTAGTCTTAAAGGCCTTGGCATTAGAAATGGAACACAGACTGCTCCACAAACAGCTGTTTCTGTAGAGTCAAATGACTCTGACTATAATCATGCCAGTGGTGGTATGAACGTGCCACATGAAGCAGCACAGGGAATAATGGTCTTTCCATAGAATATAGTATGATAGCAATACAGTATTAACCAGAGTTCATTGAGCTACTCAATGTATTCCGCATGGATCTTGGACTGCTGGACTCTTCCATGCAATATAAAGTTTTAATACTGTGGAAGATGTCCCCCTCTGACACTGATTGTTGATAAAGTGTTTATATCAATGTCTACTATGCAAGAGGCAGGATATTTTGTTAATAATCCCTCAGTGATTAGCAAAACCATTAATAAAACAATTTCTGCTTTATTTCTATCTAAAGATCCTATGCTTAGGCTTGTTGAACTATGTATGCTTAGTGGAAAATGAGATGACATTAGGAACAACATGCAATTTCCCTACTTAAAATACTCTGTTTTCTTCCTATCTTAAAGAGACACCTGAACCAGAGGTGCCGACAACAGCAAGCACTCCAGTTACTCCTTCAGTTACCCCACTGCCAACAACAAGAACGACAGAAATAAGTACAGTGTCTACTGCAAGCACCACTAGTCAAAAGTCAACATCACCAGTGTCAACAAGCCCAGTGACAACTACCACATCTGAAGTCACTGAAACAACATCAACCCCCCAGACCACTACTTCAGGCCCCACACCCTCAAGATCCACCAGCACCACACCAGTAACAGAAACAACTATCCATGAGACCACTACCACCAGGATCCCAACCCCTCCAACAGGATTCCCTACCCCCACTTCCACCCCTGGTACCACCACAACGTCGGGAACAAGCAGCAGTACAGGAACACAACCACCAGTATCAACAACCCCATTCACTGGAACATCAACCCCTAAGACCACCACTTCAGGCCCCACACCCTCAAGATCCACCAGCACCACACCAGTAACAGAAACAACTATCCATGAGACCACTACCACCAGGATCCCAACCCCTCCAACAGGATTCCCTACCCCCACTTCCACCCCTAGCACCACCACCACCTCGGGACCCAGCAGCCCTACAGTATCAACAACCCCATTCACTGGAACAACATCAACCCCCAAGACCACCACTTCAAGCCCCACACCCTCAGTGTCCACTCCCCCCACCACCACAGTAGGAACAGAAACAAGTACCCCAAGGACAACCTCTGCAACTGTTACTACTCCAACAACATCACCTACATCAACGAGCCCTGTGTCAACCACCACTTCTGGTACTACTCCAACAGAAAGCTTTACAACCACTTCAGGAACCACCTCTAGTAGTTTTATCACAGTCAATGCAACAACCAGCATCTCCACGACCTTCAAAACTCTTCCCCCTGTCTCAACTACTACATCTGGGCCTACTGCAACATCAACTGCAGTCACCATTACAGGAAGTTCTACACACAGCACAACTCCTCCAGTTAATGGTTCAACTACAGGTCTAACACCAACCACTCCCAAAAAAACTTGTACTATTTTCCCTAATGAATCTTATGAGGTGAGTAGATTTCATGATTTCATTGTGTTTTGGATGGAGACTAGACATATAACTTCAATATTAGTAACATAAAGAGTAGGCATTAATCTGGATAGGAAAGGAAGTATCAGTCTGTTCTATTTCTTTAGTTTTCTTGGGCATCAGCAGGACTTCCAGCAATACTTGGATTGCTAGCTTACATATTGCAATTAGCAAGGGTAATTTTTAAAAAGCTTTCTGCAAGGTGCTAGATCTCAGTTCAGTGTTTGTCTTTGTTGTAGGATAGCTCTGATGAAGAGGAAACCAAGAGCTAAGTGGTCCTAAGCTATCTTTTCTATTTCTGCTTTTGAATAAGTCCAGAGTGGGTAAAAGTTGTTTGTGTGTTTACATTGCAGCCCAACAAAAATCCACAGGGCTGAATTTGGAATGAATCATGCTTGTTCGCAGACTGGTTTTAGGGGAGGACTGTGAAACAGATCACTGCATTCACTGCTTGTGAAATTTGACTCAAGACTTTTTTGGTTTTGTTTTTCTTTTGAATCTTCTGCCTTTGACATAGACAAGTTTGTGTCTTGTACATTTCTAAAACCTCATCATAGTTTAGATGCCTACCAACTTGCTCAGTAGATCTGCAGGAATAAAAATTATACATGTCTGCAAAACTGGTAGAAGAGAGAAGAAAACTCATACAATTGCAATGCATGAGCATAATCACCTTGGACATTTTTCCCTGAACAGTTGGTGTTCACTGTAGCTTTAGCTATTAATCTGTTCTAGGCATTCCTGGAAAGGAATTGATCATATATTGGTCATTCATATTGATCAGTGTCTTTCACTGTTCTTTAGAGAGTGTTAAGGTGATAAGATTAGGTGAGACATCTCACTTTGAGATAGCTGAAACTAGAAAAGGTGATTCGCATTTCAGTTTACTGTCTTGATCTTTGTGAGTAATGCTTTCCATTTAGCAGCTCTCAGTTGTTCTGTTCATATTGCAGACCTAGATAGTGCTGACTGATGCACTTCCATCCTATTTTCAGATTTCTGATAGGGGAAAACTTGTCAATAAACATATGTTTTTTTAGAAACCTGCAGAAGATATTCAGGCATAACTATTGTCAGTCTCACTGCTTCCTAAAGGTTTGTTTCTGTCTCCCCCCTCCCCCTCTCTTCAAAAACAGCAAGGTGACTCATGGATGCTGTGTAACTGCACTAAGGTTATATGTATAGAAGACAACATTGTCCAGGTGATTCCAATAATCTGCAATCCACCTCCAAAACCCACCTGTGCCAATGGACTGTCTCCTGTGCCAGTCATGGATGAGGATGGATGCTGTTGGCACTGGGAGTGTGATTGTAAGTATATATTTTATTGAATATTTAATCTCCTGAGGAAACAATACTATTGTCAAGACCAACAATATTTATCAGGGAACAAGTATTGTGCAAAGCTGTGACTCAGTCTTCTAGTGTTGGTTAGAATGCTCTGTTGATTCTTTTTAGCTAATTGAATTATTGGCTTAAGTTGCCATTATCCCTATATAACTGTTGTGTTAGTAGAGTAAATTGGTCTCCCAAAGAAGGATTTAAATGTCCAGATGCAGACATTTATAGGCTAGAAGCATATATATATATATCTTGTTACTTGTTCAGACTATTGGTAAAGATAAATCTATGGTACAGTTAATCCTATTCTCAGTTGTCTGTCATTAATGTCAGATGAACTGTGCATGGAAAGTGCCTGTTTTTTATTGATGACTTCTAGCTAATGAGCTCATGCATTGACATATACACTTCATTAAAAGTAAAATGCCCAAAGTTCACTGAGGTGTCTCCCACATCTATAGATATTGCTTGTAGTATGATAGGATTTTGTATGTTGCCATAAGAGCCTAACTTAACTGTATGTTTTTTTAGGCTACTGCACTGGCTGGGGAGATCCACATTACATGACTTTTGATGGACTGTACTACAGCTATCAAGGGAATTGTACATATGTCCTTGTGGAAGAGATCAATAAGAAAGTTGACAACTTTGGTGTCTACATTGATAACTACCACTGTGATGTACGGGATGTAGTGTCCTGTCCTCGAACGCTCGTTGTGAGACATGAGACTCAGGAAGTGAGGCTAAGAACAGCACAGCCAAATACTCTACAAGTAGAGGTACTGAAGAATGTTACCATTGATTTCTTGATTCAGATGTTAATACTACATTAACAGGATAATTATATTTACAAGGTTTATCTGTGCTTTAGATTCAGTAACAGTTTAGTTTATAAAATTAGACTGCTTCAAAGGGCTTCAAAGGACTACTTCAAAGCATTTTTTTACTCTGAATGTGGGGGAGAAAAAATTCTACAACTTCTTGTCTTTTTAATTTCAAATCTTTGCAGATCTCTCCTAAATACACAAATGTGGACAAATTGCTAAGAGTTTAGGATATAAAATAAGTTCATTTATAATTAACAATAATGTAAAAAAGGAAAACAACATGGAATAGGAGAACATAATGTAAGGTAGACATAACAATAAAGTGCTGGCCTGAAGCATTTTTAAAAGTACCATTAGTAGCTTTGACTTGTGTCACCTTTTTAATTTTTCAGAATAGGGCACTTATATTATTTAATTTTTCTATAAGTGCATTCCCTTTATGCCAAGAAACCTAAAACTTGATATCATATGAATTCAGGAGAAATTTATATTCCACTTTCATGAGGAGTCCTTGATGCCATAGTCACTCTAATAGGTCTGTTGAGTGTTATGATTTATCTGGTTTAAATTTGAATAACCTCATTTGTCAGAGGTTAATGGGCTTTTTGTGGCTCAGAGAAGAAAAGTTTGACTTTTCAATAACAAAGGAAACACAGGAACATTTGTTACAAATTAAAAGGATATTATTTACCTTTACATTCTCTCTGCAAAACAAAGGAACAGTTGAATGTTTTGAGAAGTCAAACTAAATTTATGCCTCTTTTCTGTTTTCCTTTATTTATTAGGTGACAGTAAACAACCAGCTTGTGGCTTTGCCTTATAAGAAGTTTGGTGTGAGCATCTACGAGTCAGGCATAAATCGTGTTGTGGAAATTCCTGAGCTGAAAATGAATGTGACCTACAATGGCTTGTCCTTTTCTATCAGAATGCCCTACAGCCTGTTTGGCAACAATACCCAGGGACAGTGTGGTAAGGCTTACTCTTCCAATTTTTACACTCTCAGAAAACCACAGTGACAGCCCTGCTGCAAAGATGAATGGTATTTCCTAACAAATCTGTGAGTGAATTATTTCTCCCTGTACCACCCTTAGGTACTTGCAATAACAACACAGCAGATGACTGCATGCTGCCAAATGGAAACATTGCAGAAAACTGTGAAACCATGGCAGATCATTGGCAAGTTGTTGATCCTTCCAAACCACAGTGCTCTCCAGGCCTAGTTCCTACAAGTTCACCTAGCACAACACCAACACAGCCTTGCAAAGAATCTTCCATCTGCGAGCTTCTTTTGGGAAGGTAACAATCTTCTTGGTTTTAGAAGCCTTTGGTCTTTCATTTAAATGGAAATTTTAGGATTAATTTATCAGTGGAAAGTGTTTCTAACTATTTCTCCATTTCTTGTATCTTTATGATTTGCTACTACTCCTTTCTCTTTCTTGGTTATTTTTTGCTGACAGTTTCTTTCAACCCTCTGGCTGCCACATTAACCATTGCTAATGTTCCCACGTTCTTCTACACTCTCTGCCCTCCCCTGTCCCATGTTCTTGCCTTTTCCCACATTTACTTAGCAGAAAACAGAGTCCAAGTGAAAACAGAGATCTTAATTTTTAGAACACTATGTCAGAACTGAAAAAGAAAAAAAATCAAAATCGCTTTAAAGAGATAGCATATGGTTACACCCAATAATATACAACTCCTGGACTCAAAATGTTGGTGTCAAAGTGTTTTGTAGGTGAGGGAAGAATATTTTAAGGTATGTTGGAAGGTTGCTATCTGGATAAGTGCTCTTAGCACAAATCTCATCAATAGTCCACATCCACATCTCCTTAATCTCCCGTGCCCACTGTTGCCACATCATAACATGTTAAGCATGTTGAAAAAGATATGAATCATCAGTAACAAATAATGATAAAAATTTCTGTTTCTAGTGTGTTCAAGCCATGCCATGCATTTGTCCAGCCTGAGAAGTACTATGCAGCCTGTGTTTTTGATAGCTGTGTACTACCCAACCTAGACCTGGAATGCTCAAGTCTGCAGATCTATGCTGCAACGTGTGCTGATCAAGGCGCATGCATTGACTGGAGAAAACACACCAATGGAGTATGCTGTAAGTATCTGGCCATAATAATTCATCTTGAATTATTAAGGAAGATTATGTGGAACTGTTTCAGCAGTAATGTCATACTGCTTTCACAGTAATGAAGACACCAATAAATCACAGCAGCTGCTCTCTCTAAGTAATTTTGCTGGTAACATTTTTAACAACGGAAATGATAAATCAGCGTGCAAAAATATACATGTATTGACTGTGCCAGAAACATCTGTATCAGTACATACTTTTTTTATATGCTACTGCATAAGTTATAAGCTTTGCAGGCATCAGCAGATCACTCTCTGTTTGGTGACATGTATATTAGTTTTCATCTGTAGTAAGAACACAAAGAGAAGGATGACACTACCCTTTGAGAACTTTTGCAAAAGAGACTAAAATTATGAAAAAAATTGTAGTCAAGGTGTAGACTCTTGGCTTTATCAACTTAGTGTAAAGTACAATATTATATGGCTAAATTACACAAGAGACATAAGTCTATCTGGGATTTTTCCTCTTTGCTTCTCAAGATTGTCATAGGTGCATAGGAAAATGAGTAAACAGTGTTTAAGTTTTTGGCATAAGGTCATGGGGCTTTTATACGATATTGTTACTGAGCTGTTCCTCCTTTTTGTTCTTCCATTCCAGCTCATGAATGTCCTTCAGGTAAAGAATACAGAGCATGTGGTCCTATTAAAGAGATGACCTGCAAATCAAGGTAAAAAAATCCTTCACAGTTAGTTATAGCTTGTACAATTATTCAGTCGTACCTAATGCACAGGTGAATGAGCAAAATCAACCTCCTCTCATGTCTTAAACTGACGTCTAATTTATTGGCACTATTCTATTGACCCTAAATCTGGGTGCCTGAACTGTTTCTGTTTCTGTTGTTTGGCTGTATCAAACACAGACACTGCAAACCCCAATCACAAATATGCAGATCATTTGCCACTGTATTTTCTGTGAAAGGTTATTTGGCATAATCCTCCTGTATGTAGCTATGACATTAATGGTCTTCTTCTGAACATTTTTTCTCACAGAGGACAGAATGAGACATCAACTAAACAAGTGGAAGGCTGTTTCTGTCCTAATGGAACCATGCTGTATGACTCTGGTGTGGACGTCTGCGTGAAAACCTGCGGTGAGTTTTACTTCTTCACTTGGATGCATGTTTGTTTCCTCTTTGTTTCCTTCCATGTATACAACAAAGATTTGACTGTATGCAGTGCTCATACAATGTATAATAGAGTTGCCTCCTGTTATATGACTGGTAATGGAAATTTATTTTGGTATTTTCCAGGCTGTGTTGGAGTGGATATGATACCAAGAGAGGTATGTTGCTGTTGCTTTTGGATTTCAAATAGAAGTTTGGGTGGGGAGAGGAGAGTGGTTTCCACTGGTACAATCTTATTTTGTCATCTCTGTACTTTGTACTCCTAGTTTTACTTCTGTTCCTTTTAACTGGTTACTATGCAATCACTCATTTTATTGTTTTTCAATGGCAGTTTGGAGAAAAGTTCACAGTGGACTGTCAGGACTGTATTTGCCTGGAAGGTGAACATGGCATTGTATGTGAGCCTCATGTATGTGATCAAAAGAAGGTCACTTGTGATGGAGAAGGCTTCTATGAGGTCACTGAAGTCAATCCTAAAGACTCCTGCTGCCCTCTTTTCACTTGCAGTGAGTTTATACTCTTGTTTCTAGTCTTTCTATACCTCTTGGAAATAGAAGGAAAAGGGACTGAACTACCTTAGTACCAGAGATCTACAGCAGGGAGTCACAAAATAGCATCTTCTCTCATGCTTTTTAAAATCAACTTGCCCAGTGCTAGGGAAAATACATTTTAATATTGCAATGTTTCAGTACAACTGAATTTACAGTTATGGGACTCAACATAACTAAAGCTATAGTTATTGTGTTCAGGGCCACATTTTATTTAAGCCAAATGCAGAGAGATTATGGAATTCTCTGTGGATTTTCATTTTCCAGTAACTGCCTAAAATCATGGAGAGAGTAGGAGTTGTTCCCTACTTCTTTGCATAGAATGGTGATACTTTATTAACACAGCATAATTGCATAGTAGAAAAAAATTCATAAACTAATACAGTATCCCATATCCAGTGCCTGGATTTATGAGGAAAAATGTGTTCCCTATCTACAATTTGGGTTTTTTTGAAGAGGATCTGGACTGTTTCCTAGCAATGGAAAGTTCATCCTAAGTGCTTTGATAGGTGCTTATTTCTAGTAGCTGTGATTTAGTGTATTTTCTGGCTTATTCTTTTTATTTTTTTTTCCCTCAGAATGCAATACAAGCTTGTGCACAGCTAAAGCCCCCAAGTGTTCACTGGGATTTGAAGTTCATTCTTATATTCCCAGTGGTCAGTGCTGTCCTGTATACCAATGTGGTAAGTCCCTTGGAAATATATTACAATGATTAGCCTTATAGTTTTATTTATTCCATAATTTAGCATTACACTTAATAAGACTGTATGCAGTAGTCTTTTGAAAGAGGTGTTAAACACAGCCAGACTCTACTAATTCACTTTTATTAAAATTGGTTATTAGTGCTGTAATTATGAAACTAGGAAATCAGATACAGCTCTGGTGACTCAAGTTCAATTTCCTGCTTATAAATACACGTAAGGACAGCTACAGAATTAACTGGGTTGATGGTCTCAGCTTAATCTAGCAAATGTATAGTTCTTGCTAACTGAAACAAGTACTTGTATCTGTTAAGTGGATATTCTTGGATATGAACTGGACTGTGTATTTTGGGACGAATATTTTTCCCTTCTTGCACATGCAGTATTAGTTTTTATACTTTATACATCTCCTATCTTCAGAACTGGGGAATAACCATATGAATTGTGATTCATTGTGGAAGAAATGAGTTGGATAAGAGTGGGTTGAAGACATTTTTTTATTAATTTTTCCTATCTAAACTTCCGACTCTTTGCTTATTAACAGTTCCCAAGGGGGTTTGTGTACACGAGAATGCTGAGTTCTTGGTAAGTTCCTGTTTCAACAGTCTTTAAAAATGCTTAAAAGACCATTTAGTATAGTTTATCCAGTACAACAAGTATTTTAGAAATTTTCAGATTTCTACCAGAAGTTTATCAGTTTCACAAAGCCTAAATATTTTCTGAAAAGTTTCCTGTGTAGGAAAGAAATTGAAGAGCTGCATGTATGTCAGTATCATAGAGGAATTTGGGTTAAGTGGACTGGCATTTTAAAAAGTCAGTCCACATTTACTGTCAGCACATTATTGCAGTTTTAAGACTCTGTTTTCAAATATTAAAAGACATATAACTAAGTATTATTCTAACCAAATTTAGATTTCTAATTGTCTTGGGTCTAGTAATTGTACCTTTTCTTTTAATGTCAGAGTTTGTTATTGCTATAGAGGTCTTCAATAAAGACACGTTAAATTATATTCAGTATTTAAAATGTTGTCTTCTTAAATGGCTAGCCAAATAGCTATCCAGTTGTCTTTATGATTTTTTTTCCTTTTCCATTGCTTCATTTACAGATTTTTAAAAAATTAATAAATGCCTGTTTAAACATATCATAACTCGTTAATATGTGATTTCTTTCCTTAAAATGTGTAGCCCAACTCCTCAGTCTTTGTTGACAAGTGTCAGAATTGCATCTGCACAAATGATGTTAACGTCAGCACTCAGCTGAATATTATCTCCTGTGAACATGTCCCCTGCAACACATACTGTCAACCAGTAAGTGACAAACTTAAAGAAAACAAAGACCCCAAAATACCCATATTTGTGAACTTCAGTTTGGTCAATGAGTGGTTTTAAGCAAAGGACAGGGAGTTGAAACCCAGAGACCAACTCCAGCATGGATATCAACTGTTCTTTCAGCAATCTGCTGCCTGAGATTGTCTGTGTAACTGTCAGCATTCAGTTCACACTGGCAGAATTAGCTGGGAAATTTCTGTAGACCACATTGTGGAGTAATATTTAATTATTATGCATATTTATTCTAGTGCTTTAATTTATCCAATTTATAACCTGCTTCTATTACTTGTCTCCTGTTGGTTTGGAACACAAAAGGCACAAATCTTGAGTGCACTTCAAAGCCTAATCAATTAATGGATTCATATATTTTCATTTATTTCTCAAAAATTATAGTGCTGTTGTTTTTAATTACTTTTAATTTCTAGGGATATGAACTTAAACCAGTGAAAGGTGAATGCTGTGGAAAATGTGTGCAGACCAAGTGTATTATACATACAGCAGACAATTCTGAACTCATCTTGAGTGTAAGTATGCCCTTTGTCTTAGTTCTCCACCAAATCTGTAAAGTTCCCCGTTCCAGAAAGAAAACATCTCCTTGCCAGAGACAAGGCTTTAGTATAAGTTTGCACCTGAAAGATCAAAATCTCATTTAATGCAAAACCTAGCTACAAGTTTTTGACCTGAAGGTAGGTCTCATGAAATAAAATTATCTGTAAGGCCCTTCCTGGAATGAGAAATCCAATACCATTGGAAGAGATTTTTCTTCCAGTGTCTGGAAGCTTGGGCTTTTCTATGTTATTTGATTTCTGTGTGCTGAAAAACACTACTAAAGCCTGCATCTGAAACAATTCTATTTCCCTAGTAGGATGAAGGTTTAGAGTGTTTCTTAATTAATGTAAAACAGTGTAGCTTTTTGAAGGCAAAATCCATTGGCATGGATGATTTTGTTAAAGTACTCCGTGTACTTTAGAGACATTTTTCTTTCTTTCTCAAGGAAAATACTATATAAAACTGAAATTCTCTCCATGTATAGCATATTGCAATACATATTGCAATGATCTGTATCCCAAATGGCTGTTAACCTAAAAAAAAATTGACTGGGAAACAAGATGAAAGTTATTATCAGAGGGCAAGAAAATTTCTGTCTGTGCTCCCTTCAGTTTTCCTTATTACATTTTGCATTTCACTTGCAGCCTGGAGACTTTAAAAATGATCCTCACAACAACTGCACCATTTATAGCTGTGTAGATATCCACGACCAGCTTATTGCTTCCACATCTGAGATTACCTGTCCAGCATTCAATGAGGACAGCTGCAAACCTGTAAGTAAAAATGGAAAATTTACCCTCTACTCCTTACATAGATTACTTAATTTTATTTCAGCCATCTAACTAACAACAAAAATAAAATTTAGCTCTGATGGCCTTTCATCATAATTTCTCAGTCCTAAGGGCAGAAGTTCTAGATGCATCCATGCAGAGCCCTATAGAGTATATAAAATAAGATACCTGGGTGAGAATTCAAGGTTTATAATTGGTAGCTGTCTCTCAGTAGCCAAAATACTGGTCAGCACCAATATACTGAATCTTGGCTGACTGCTTTGTTTGGGGTTCTGTCTCAACAAGAACCAGGTTTCCTTGAATGTTAAAACACAAGCTGTTCAGTCAGTAAGTAGGCTGCAAGTAACACTGTGCGCAGTCCCCATTCAAATACAGAGGACTCTGAGAAACCACTTATTGGAATTTCTTCTGAGCAAAAAATTAATGATGGTAACTGCAGACTTCCTTCAAATAATTGTTTGTATTTTCACAATCCTTTGTAAGTTGATAAATTTCAGGTTGGGAAGAGGCTGTTATCTTTGCTTATTTAGATCAATGTTACAGTACAATAACCAGTTTTCACTGGTTATTTCTAGCCAACTGAAGAATTGCTCTCCCCAGTTTTTGGCCTTGATGGCTTTTTAATATAGAAAAATAATATAAAGTTTTTGTTTCTTTTTTATTTTAGGGAACTATTTCGTTCTTACCTAATGGTTGTTGCAAAACATGTAAGTATGCCAGTATATCTGAATCAACAATACAGAGAATGGTCTTCTTAAATCAACCCATTTTCCAGATAAATTTGTATTTAAATAGATACTTCTATATTTATAATTGTCATTCCAAGCCTTCACTCTCCCATCTCTCTGGAGAAGTTTAAGCAGAAGAATAAAGACCACTTGAGGCAATTCTCTGAGTGCACTAGTGAAGCCCAGGGAATGCTGAAGTGCGAGGGACTTCTGGAGCTATTTCACCGAAAGTATTTTCTGCTCTTTCCCTGTAGGTGCCCCTCTGGACAGCAACACACCATGCACTGTGCGCCACAGAAAAGACTTTATCGTCTACAATGGCTGCCGCTCCGTGGACAGAGTTGACATGACTGAATGTGAAGGAACATGTGGAACCTTCTCACTGTAAGTAAACTCACCAGACAATGAGATTTAAGTCCTGGTGGCATTGAGCTTGTTTATATAAAAGGAACAATAAATAGTAGGCTACACAATGGTAGAAGATCTGGAACTATCTGCTTCATGAATCATGGACATAAAATCATGGAATCTGTGACTAATGAGCTGATTTGTCATAATACAAATCAGAAAAGTGTATTAAATTGTCTTGGGATTCAGACAGCTCTGATAAGGCCTATTCATCCATTAAGAGCTGGCTTTGTGTCAGACCACCTAGGCTAGAAATTGTCACAAAAGAACATGGATTATTTCCTGTAATGAGAATGAGTCCAGAGAGCAGCCAGACCTGACAACTAGAAGTGGAAAAGCTGCTTCTCAATAGTTAACAGCTAAAATGAAATACACATACATCTTTCAAAGGAAGATTCAAATATGCACAATTTTCATACAGTGAAGAAGTGAAAAAAATTAATGCTTTAGGTGTGGTGTTAGTAGAGTAACATGACTGTACATTTTTCTCTGAAATGAGAGAATATACTAAAAATTGGATATAAGGAAGTGGTTAGTAGGACACCTGGTAGTGAGCTACCAAAACACTGGGAAAACAACTCTAACTCTCCAAAGAAACTGTCACTTATTGCCTACCACTGAGTTGGTCACAGTGCACCTTACATGGATGAAAACTGATCTTTAGTATCACCTGGAACTCTGAGAAGCCATGGCGTTTATTAGTATTTTGAAATTCCTGATCATCTTAGGGTCTTGCTGTGGTTGCTTCTACCAAATACAAGAAAAAGATGGATCTTTTTACACCTTATAGCCTGATATTGACAGATTCTTCAGGTTAGGAATGATGCTTAGGAAGCTGATTAACACAAGACTGCAAAAAATACTTTGAAGTGAGATGGGAATAGAAACCTGCTGCTTCCCCTTCGTGTTAACACTGCCCTGATTGAGTTAGGCATTTTATAATCACTGTTCTGTCAGATGAGCTTAGCACTTCCATTAGCCACAACTGTGGCTCTTCTCACAGGAGTTCTGTGCCTGATTTCACCCTCTCCTGGCACTGAGTAACGTTGCCATTTCGCATGTTCACAGATACTCTGCTGAGGCCAATTCTATGGACCACAGCTGCTCCTGCTGCAGAGAAACAAGCACCACTGAGAAGCAAGTGGTTCTGAAATGCCCTGGTGGGCATGCAGTGTCACACAAGTACATCTACGTGGAGAGCTGCAGCTGTCAAGATACTGAATGCAAGAGGCCCGAGTCCAAGGAATTGCAGAAGAATTAAGAAAATGACAAGGCAACCACTCTGAACCGGATCAAGAGAGCCATCAGCTTAACATCAAAATGAAGGCAAAACCGCCCCCTGGCATTATTAACTAAAAGGACTGTGAACCATTCTTAGCTTCCTTGACTACTTTTGCAGTTTACTTTTCCCAGTAACTGCATCCTGTTTGTTCTCTAATTAATTAACTATGTCCTATTTATTTGTGCACAAAATAAGAACACAAATTTGTATTCTTACAAGTGCACAACCTCTTGAGTACTTTCTTATTTTTCTCTGAATGATTAAAAGCACATCTCAAAAAGCACGGCTTTTGTACTTTTTCTTATACAGTCTTGATGAGTTTGAGTTTGAAGAGAGAAGAAAAGTTCTTTTTCAAGTTATAGGAAGTCATGTGGTTTCCTAAATATTTGGAGTATCTACTCCTGGCTCCTTAAAATCTGATCAGATTATGCTGTTCAGAAGACCCAATCTCTAAGGAGGGAAGAAAGATGATGTTGTCTGCCAGAACAAAGGCAAAGATGAATAATGATCATGAAATTATTCAGATGACTTGGAGAAACTTCTAGTTCAGCATCAGAACTTACTTTATCAGGGTTCTGTATGTTAGAACTGTCTCAGTTCTATGCAATTATGTATTTTCACTAAAAAAGTAGTCCCTCAGCTATATGAAGATCACTCACAGTGCTTTCAGGATGCATAGTTACTACCATAGTAACAGCTCTCCAAATTCCAACATTTGCAGAACAGATGCCCATCACTAAGCTAGAAATCCTAGGTTTCCTCTGCAGAAAATGGAAAGCAATAACCATTTTTGATATTAATTTGTCTCTCAACAAAGGACAAATCTAAAGGAGTGCCTGTTTATCTTATTGTAAGGGGAGCTGAAACAGATAACTGGAAGATATTAATATCTCTTGAATCATCTTAGAGTACAATGAGGATAAACCATACCTGTTGTAGTGAAAAAAAAGCTTTGGTTTATTTTATCTCCATTAATGAAATCTTTATTGGCAATAGCCAACCTCAATACTGGCATCTTTGCTACCTAAAGGATTGGTGGCACTATTTTTTGCTACTATCAAATGTAGTTCAGCTTAAAAGGCAGATAAGATTACTGAGTTTTTATAAGACTGATAAGGATGTGAAGAAAATGAAAGCCCATATTTTTTTCAGCATTACAAAACTCTGATTGGAAAGCAGACTTCTCTGGAGTTGGGGAGGTAACTGATCTAACAAGAAGGAAGTTTTGTCAGTTTACAGAGCAAGCTGCAGATTAAATGAAGCCCAGTTTCTGCTTTAGTACAGATTTCTAAGGATTTCTATCTCTCCGTTCGTTGTAAGATGTGACTGAGGATTTTTTCCCAGGGCACATACAAAGCCATTCTCCTCTGTAGATTCTTTGTTATCCAACAATTTCCACGCTAACACTAAAACTATACATTTCCTTGAGTTTTTTGCACAAATTGCTTTTCTCAAAATCTGCTGACATTTAGCTGTCTTTATTTTTGCAGTTAAATTTGACTGAAGTCAGCGAATAACTTCTGGAGACAGGTACAAGGTGTGATCAAATCTGCCTTGTTTCCTATGAAAAAGAGATAAAATATTACTAGTCAGTAGTGGTGTTTTGCTGCACACTGTATTTACATTGAAATATAAAATCTTCCTTGTTTCATTTATTTTTCATTTGGTCTGTAGTTTGCACAGGGTCTTTCTGTCCCTTCTAGTGATGGGCAAACTACTTCTTAATGAGGAATTCTAAAGATCCTGGATAAGTCAGTAAGGCTGCAGATTTCGGCTTCACCACTGCAGGGCAGTCTATGGCTGAGAATGTAAAGTCACTTCATACCAAAAAAAGGAAGCTGCCTCGAAAGGGAGTTTTTATTTCATCACACAGAGGGTTTTATTTCTGAGAAGAATGAATGCTCATCTCTCCCTACAGATATTTATATGCTCTTAGTAAGCACTGGAAAGACAATTATTCTGACAGGAATTTACACGCAAGGTGTTGTTTGTCACAGTGCTCTGATTATGGCAGCCCTCTCAGTTTTGGTGCTGGGTCAGTGCTGCCCATAAGCAGGCTCACAAGCACACGCTGTCAGAGAATTCTTACTTACAAGTTCTTGGCAGTTCCAGGTCACACTGCACATGTCAAACTTCCACCCCCTTCTGCACTCTTAGTCACCTTAGACCTTTGTGGTTCAGTTTGCACCTGCAGTGCAGATCCAGTGGAACTGGATGACAGAGTTGAACAGATTAAACTTTCTCCAGTGGAGAAATCCACTGATAGTACCTGGGACAGAAAGGAAGGAAAGAAACTTTCAACTGTGTATCCCTACAAAGAGTAGTAGTGACAGTGAGCAGCACTTTTGCTTCCTTCCACACCCCTCGTGGAAGTAAATTGAGATCTGTATTATCTGATCCCAGGAAACATTTTGTTTCTTAAGCAAGAGCTGTTTGCTCTGCAGGTCACAAGAAGAGATTCTTCTGGAAAACCCAGAAAGAAACCTGAGGAAATGTCTCTCATCACCCCCTCTGAAAGGGTGATATCACCACATTAGAGACTCAGGAGATTGTGGAGTCTTCTGATCCCATTGTGTTCCAGGCAGGACCTACGACAAAGGACCCTAGCAGCTTCATACAAAGCATTAGTGCTGGAAGGGAATGGGCTTGACTCTCTCTGTCCTCAAAGAATGACACCATTCTCCAGGAACTGCCTTGTCTTCTGGAGTCTAGCAAAAAGAAAGCAGTAGCAAGAGCCCATGTCTTGTCTCTTTGCCTGAGTTCTGTGTTCATCTCCTCCAGACTTTCTATCTAGCCTCCCACTTTCATTGGTGGTGAGGGGTTTCTCTTTGTTGTTTCTTTTTCTTCCTCTCCCAGTACTTAACAGTTTCAGTTTTGTCTTGGAAAATGGGGAAGCCTTCTTGGGAGGCAAGTAGGACTTCCAGTCACACAACCTTTGAAGGCACCAAAACCCAGTGTCCCAGCTCCTGCTGTCCAAGATCACATGGGTTTCATTCCCACTTGTAGTCTTCTCATCCGAGATGGTTGGAATCTCAATTTTGTTGTAACTACCTAGAGATGCACTGGAAACTCAATGTTGCTCATAGGACTCTTCAGCAACACAATGAGAATGTCCATCTGCAGTTAAAAAGGAGTTCACAGAAGATTTCCTCATAAAGAGAGCACAGTTGTTTTACGAAGCATTATTGGGTATGTGTTTTGAGAACACCAGAGACAGAAAGGAAAATACTTGTTAGCAATATGGAAGAATCACTGCTGCTATCTGAGGTGAGGCAGATGGGATTCAGAAAGAGAGGAAAAACCGCATGCAAACCAAGAAGAATTCTTCCCAAAATAATACAAGGTAGGGGCTTCTGATCTAACAACTACCTTGTCTGCTGATATAACTATGTTCTTTAATAGCATTATTTTGTTCTGTGGGAAGGGTAAGATAAAATTTTCAGTGTGTTTACCATTTAAGTGTACTTAAACTGCACTTCACTGAACTAAGCACATGCAACTCTGCACATAAGCCTCAGTGAGAGGACTTTAGCAAAGGCAAAGCCCTAAGTAAATAATCCTGTAGTTACTATGCTTGTTATATACTGTTGCACTTGTCTGGAAAAGCAAGCTCAGATACCAGGAAAAGACAGAATAGATTTACAAATTTTGAGATGATAAGAAAGAACATTTTTGTAGTTTTAGGTCTGACAAAAAATGAAGTACATTTAAATAACTGCAACATTGATACACAATTTCTGGAATTTCACCTCCCAGTGGAAGCTTTGAGGGGTAGGGCAGTAGTTTAAGGCAGAACAAGTTCTTAAAGTTGAGCAGCCCTCTTCCAGGGCCAAATTTACAAAATTAACTCACTTTCTTCAGGCTACCACAAACACCCGTGTTCTTAACTGGCAACCTCCCAGACTAAGGTCCAAACACGTCCAGGCAGGTTACCTAAGCCACTTTTCCATCCCTAATATGGAAAATCCCATGTTATTTTTCAGCATCATGCTTCTAAAATCTAGTCTGTACAAACTTTATTCCCTTTAATGTTCCAGTTTTTCAGCACCCTTACATAAAAGGCTTGAATTCTTTTCACAAACTAGTCTCTAGAACAGTAAAAGTCACCACTATGATGTTTTCATTACCTTAAGACTTTGAAAAAACTCAAGCAGAGAGAAAGTATGGCAGAGCTGGCACTTGAGAAGGAGCACATGTGCTCCATGCAGCTTTCCTTTAAGCCATAACAAAAGGCAACAGGAACAGTGATCAAGGAATGTGGCTTTACACAGTGCCTGTGACCTGACACAGTAGTTAAATTTCAATAGCCTGTCCATTTGGACTAGTGTAGCTGAGCATTTCTTGCCCTTTTTTTTTTTTTTTTCAGAATCTATGGGATCTATATGATCATTATGCTCCTTAAAAGTACAGGGAGTCTGAGCAAAACATAAGGGCAGATAGTTCTTAGGTGGCTAATTCTACCTTGCACACAAAAAACCCTAGGCTAAGGTTGCCTAGATCGCCTCCTTAACTTGTTTTCTGCCCCATCTCTTAGCCTTTCTTTTGGCTTGCAGTAATTTTCAGTCATGGTGGGCATGGTTACTGGGTATGTATTTCATGTAATTTCAAGGTTATAGAGGCTTCAGTATTAAGCATGCAATGGCTTCTTCTGAATTATCTTGGCACCCAGGAAGTGGGTAGATTCACCCAGGTAGAATCTGCTCTAGCCTAAACCCCATAAAAGTTCTAAATATTAAAGCAGAAAATTCATATGCTTCCCTTTGTTCTGCTACCCCATATTTTTCCACCAGGAAAGTTGTTTAAAATAAAACCTTTCAAGTAGAAAATCTCTAGGGCCCAACCTCCTGAGGAGATGACTTTCTATGCAGGGAGTCTCTCTTACGTGAGGAAGTGCCAATAGGTCAAAGAGACCTGTGTGCACGAACACCAATCAGCCGTGTTATTACTCCTTGTACATGGATTTTGAAAGATCTACATCTTCTTAAAGAAAAACAGAAAAGAGCAGCTGGACTCATTCCTTGCAAACAGGAATAACTAATGCCCTTGATTTGTTCACAAAAAGTCAAGGAGCCCTATGGCAAGATGAGAGGTTAAGGAGATTTGTGTCCATTCTAAGGCAAAATGTAAGAAAACATTTAACCACCTCCTACCAAAATTGAAATACTGAAGGCATTCGTCATGTATTTTAATGGACAATTAATGGCAGATATCCATTCCCTCCTTTCCCACTGCCTGCTACAGATCACCTTATATTAATGGCATCTGTTTCAAACTGTGTGGTAG